TTATATCTTCTATACGCTAGGTCTAAGTTCTCACAGCGAAAACTCCCCAAAACTGTCTGGTTCCTACTAAAACAGCACATAACCGTCCGTGTTAGTTGAACGGCCGTCTGCGGGAGATACCATCTTTATTTATTTACCGGGAGCCGGCGTCGGGTAGTCTGCCATCGGACGTTGCCGTTGGGGGCGATTCTGGTACCATTCGCTTTATTAGAAGCAGAAAGGCTTCTCTCTGTCTCTTTCCACACTGAATAAAAAGAGACGTAATAACAATGAAGATAGCACTTCGTTATTGTTTTTCAATAGCTGGCTTTCATTTACTTAAACACCTTTTTTCAAATTCAAATTCAAATTATTTATTTGCATAAAACATGGTACATTTCAGTTATTATCTTGTTACGAGAACAACATGTTTCATCGACATAGCGATATGCAAACATTTAGTCGTCATGCAATATTATTATTAAATTATTAATAGTCATTATTAATATTACATGATCTACCTCCAATAGAATTCAAATGTCAAATTGACCATCGTAGCTCAATGTAAAGCCACTTGATCATGAAGATAAAATATTTTTCTTAACTTGCTGGGAGCCAGCGCACCTTAGGGCGATTTTTTACGAGTCGTTACATGAAAAAGGCTCTTTTTACCATACCAAAAGAGTATTATGTGAATTATGCAGTAATTTTTAGCTAACACCAACTTGAAGTAAGTATATTTTTTTTAATGCCAAATAAAAGGAGATGGGGGATGCCTTAAAAACTGACAGTGAGCATTTCAATGTAGAGTTTGATCGCTGGTTTTCTGTAGAGCTACTCTACGTGCAACTTAGTTGAACGGCTGTCAGCTGGAGTGGAGATTAAATCTTTATTTACTTACTGGGAGCCGGCGTCGGGTTGTCTACCAGTTGCCAGTGAACTTGGTAGCTACTCTGTTACCAGTCGCTACACTAGTTTGAAACGTCTAGTTTTTCAAAATAATGAAATTGAAAAGGTAGTCTTTTATACTAACTTTAGACCTGATACACTAATAATATTGTGTCTTTTTTCTGTCTACAAGCGATACAACAGAATTGCCACCCACCATTGTCCGCTGTTTGGACGTGTTTTTTGTATGACTAGACTGTTTATGCTGGGTCATTTATGTGGTTATTTTTAAATACAGTTGGTGCCTTGATGTTTTATAGTTACAGCCCGACAACGACATGTTATTTTTATTAATATTAAATGAAAATGAAATGTTTTATTCAGCGACATAAAACAATATTCAAAGGAAAAACACAGACTGTAGGTAAATAGGGATAGTATTTTTGATTTATTTTTTCATACGAAAAATCATACCTAAGTCGTATCCGAAATAATGGAGGTACGGGGCAGTGATTAATATTGCACCATTCGATTAGTCAATTAGTGTCCACAGTAGGATGACTACTCTCTAATTTACCACAGGCTAGCTAAACAAAGATGTTCTTTTCTCAACTTCAATATCATTCTAAAGCATTAGGTATGTGTTTTAATTATTAATGTTGGTAATTTACAACGGCAAGTCACTCGAGCCGGGAATGGTTCCGCCCTGGATTCGATTGCGCAACTAATCAATAGCGCATTCGCACTGCGGCAACGGAATTTCATATCCACAGCCCCATACACGTTAAGGGTCACCGTATACATAGCTGTAAGAGTAGTCGTCATATTGGTCTTTAACTGCTTGTAGAAAATATTTTCAAACATTCTTTAATAGAAGCGACAATAATACTAGTTTGATGAACATTCGTAACACCTCACTGGGTTTTGTTTATTAACATATTTCCATTTTAGGTACTAACAATAGTTTTTCTTGCGTTAAAGCTAATAACGAAACATGAAAATCTATATTAATAATTTCGTCAAGGGGTACGGTAGACTGGATCGAAACCTTATATGAATAACAAAGCATAAAAAAATATCGATTTTGAGTCGACAACATATATCCGCAAAATTCGGATAATGGAGAATTTCGTTAAATTCCGATGGCACTGACAAACAAACCGCTGTGTCGCCATCTTTAGTAGTTCATCATCCACTCACTATGCGATCAGCGCCAAAACCTTTTTGCTGGGTTGTCATCGATCCATAAATAAATGGAGATCAGTGCGTTTCGCGATTTTTATGATATACTCTTTGTTATGTGTTTTTTCTATAAACCTGATATTGGCCGATTCAACCACAGTAGAAGAATATTAGCCATAACCATAAAAGTTGAAGTTCAAATGTCAATGTCATTTAGTTTCGCACAGTGAGAAATTCCAGTGACATGCAATTTTTGTAATGGCAAAATATTTGTAAGAAACTGCTTTTTTTTCGATGTACATACCCGTGTGGGGTATCAATGGAAAGGTCTTTTAAAATGATATAAAGTTTTCTAAAAAACATTTTTCTTAAAGTGAACGGTTTTTGAGATATCAGCTCTCAAAGTCGTAAAAAGTATGTCCCCCCCCCTCTATTTTTATAACTACGGGGTATAAAATTCTAAAAAAAATAGAGGTGATGCATGCTAATTAACTCTTTCAACGATTTTTGGTTTGATCAAAGTATCTCTTATAGTTTTTGAGATAGGTTGATTAAATTGACATAATAAGTTTATTATATTTGCTGCTACGGAACCCTTTGTGCGCGAGCCCGACTCGCACTTGTTTGCACCTAGAATTGTGTATTATGAGTCAAATTTCACCCGAGCGAAGCCGGGTTTTCATCTAGTAATATCATATTGAGGAAGCGCTCTCGTTTTCTGAACGATACATCACTTTGTGGTGTCGTTAAAATAAAAATAATATTCGCGTCCTTGTTCTAGCGTTGACGTCGCCGACTCGCAGTGCAGACTGGAATCCGTCGTTCATATTATGATGAGCAATAATAGTTTTATTCGCGGGACGTCACGGCCACATTGAGGTCTCGTGTGCGAATTGAACGTCAAAACGCCTGGTAGTCTGCTGTGGCGGTTAAAGATTAGTTCTGAATAGTTGAAGCTTTTTTGGCGACAAAGAGGCATAACGACATGTTAGCCAGAAGCCACCATTTGCCGATGTCATTGTCTGAAAACTTCTGTAATGTAGGTAGTGAGTATTTTGATGCTGATGCTGTTATGAGCCGATCACATTTGGCGGGCTTCTCCCTGACATTTTCGGATTTCTTCTCTGTCATTTAAAACGTGATGCCGAAATGAGTGATAACGACAGTTTGACTGAGCATACGGAAATGATGTTGGTACTAACCAGGGTTCGAAAATATCCGATATTTATTATAAATATCAAAATATCGGATATTTATGATATATATATCCGATATATATCAACTTTGATATATATCAATTTTGTATGAAAGCCACAGTATTATTTTATTGTATTATTCATGAATAATATTGCATATGTGTTACATAAACATGTATTTAATGTTTTTAAACTTAAAATCAGATAAATAAAGCAAAAACATAAAATATTCTTTTAAATACGGCAAAATCAACTAAAAAAATCAAAATCTTATGTCAAAAATTACAAATACAGTAACAAATTTTAAAAGTTGATATATATCATCAAAACCGGCTTGATATATATCGGATATATATCCGATATATATCTTGATATATATCCCTTGATATATATCCTCGAACCCTGGTACTAACTAGCTCTGATGATATCTCCAGCGTGATATTTTAAATCTGAAGTGCAGTGATTGTTTCATAGCCTTATCGTCCGTAACAGTTATCAACATTCGGTGACGTTTTCCATGTCATACACGAATCTTGAAGTTTCGGTTGTGTTGCTATAGCCGTTTAGCAGACTGGTGGCTCGCGGCGTCAATTGTAATGGAACGTGAAAGCTTAAAATCTTGTCGCCATGTTTGTTGCCAATTGCCAAGTGACACAGCTTCTGGAATGAATTGTTATGTCACCCCGTATTTAGGGAACCTCTACGCAATTAAATATGCGCCAGACAACACGCCTACATCGCCAGGTGGGCAGACGCGCAATTTATTGGACGATGGCTACCAGATGGGTACATGACACAAGTCACACAAGTCTTCCGAATTGAGTGATGCGAAATTAGCGGATATTAATTAGTTCCTACTGTGAAGAACTGTGCCTGTGACTTCGCATCGTACGAATTGAAATCATTTCTCAAAAACCAACCAAGTCCTACCATTTAATGCGACTGTTTTTAAAAAAGGGGACAAATCTCAGGGCCTATATTGTAAACAGGAATTAAATTAGAATAGTTATCTACGAGATTGCTACCATGTACCTTTTTATTTACGAGCATCCGACATTTCGATATGCGATATGTCGAGAACAGTTGCGAGATAATAGTGAGTTTGAGATCAGTGGTACCGGAGGTGATTGTGTTAAAAGACTGCGAAAGAGGGTAGACAGATATGTCTGATAATAACAATTCTCTCACCCGCTAGATCTTCAGTTACTCCGTGATCATGGCGCTTGCAACAGTGCCGAAATATCGGATGCTTGTAAATAAAAAGAATACATGGCAGCAATCCCGTAAATAACTATTCTAATGTTTAGTGACCATGATAGTTTAAAACAGAAATTAAATACTCCGAATTATACATAGGTAATAGTGCTATAAAACACGTGTCAAATCAAATTCAAATCCGCTGCCGCCTGGCGCTGTGTAGTTGGCAAAATAGGTACTATTTCAAAATCAAAATCAAAAATATTTAATTTATTCAGTTTAGACCACAAGTGGCACTTATGAACGTAATTTATCAATAAATAGTTATGACTTTGGATAATGCCAATTGCCAACCTGATTCTCATTACGCTTACGTCATCTGTCATCAAAGAAGGTAGACTGTGTGGTCGCCCTCTGCCCCATCTAGGGGACATAGGACCTTAAGTGAGTCAAGTCATCAAAGAAGGACAAAAAATACATCTTTAGATTTCTCAGATCTCAATTAGATAACATCGAGTTCAACCTTTGAAGTTTGAATATAGGTTTTTCATTTTTCAGGTGATGCTGGGCGGTGCGGGGTCGCCGGGCGGCGACGATCTGCTCACCGTCACCATCGCGCGCGACGAACATGGATACGGGATGAAAGTGTCAGGTAAAATGTACACGCATTCATTACACCTGAATTAGAACGACCTGAAAGCTTTCAAGAGGAGAGCGTATCTTTACCTTAAAGGCCGGCAACGCACCTGTAACCAGTGGCGGCGTAAGGCGTAGCGTAGGCGACGTGGGCCACCGCCTACGGCCTCGCGGAACGAGGGGCCTCGCGCGTCAAAAATTTTGCTCACATGTCAAATTCAACTTTTAAATACTATTAAATATAAATTATTGATAGCTAAACAATGTAGTTTTTTTTTCCATACAAATTCAGCCATAATCAGACACAAAATTAACAAACATTATTCTTTGGCGCAAAATTCCTTTAAAAATGATCACTGAATCAAGAAATCAGAAACTGTCAATGAATAGACCATTGACCCGTTTTTTTTTTATTATTTCATAAAATCCGTCTTCAGGTAGCCACAGAACAAGGCCTCGCGAAATCTGTCTTGCCCACATCAAATTTAGGTCTTGCCCCGCCACTGCCTGTAACGCCCCTGGGTCTGCGGGTGTCTATGGGCGACGGTAATCACTTACCATCAGGTGATCCGTCTGCTCGTTTGCCTCCTGTCACATTAAAAAAAAAAGAACTTGATGCTCTGCAATATGCTGAGTGGGGTCCCGTTGCAGTGGGTATCTTGTTGGTGAATGGGTGGCACTGCTCAGTTTACTCTTGTTTTTATTATTTTTTTCTTCTTCCATTATGTGCCACTGTCATGTATATGTAATTGCCTGTATTTGTGTGATGTCCATTGTAATAAATGTATCTTTCTTTCTTTCTTTCTTCAATGCAAAGCATACTTTACACAGGCACAGGTCTACCACACGAGTTCTGTTAATGCCCTGACACAAAGAATATTCGATTATTGCTTTACACTCTACTGTGTGCCACATATTATTCAGGATTGTAAATTGATTCGCGCTATACCGAAGTGATAAAGTTAATCATTTTGGGTCCATTAATTAGAAAAATAAGACTGATATTCTTCGGTCTCAGTGTAGTGTGGCGGACATCTTCCTCATAATATAGCGGTACTTTGTTAATTTTGATCTTCTCAGCCGTTGAGCCTTGAGTGATGATTGTTCTGCTATCGATGTACCACATCAATAACTAAAGAGTTGCTACGTGCAGTCACGCCAACTGTACGCTTGCACATCATAGGAGCCCATACCAAACGCGTGTCTAACCCAGTGCCCCTGATTCCAGGCGACAACCCAGTATACGTGCAGAGCGTGAAGGAGCACGGCGCGGCTTGGCGCTCGGGCCTTCGTGCTGGAGACCGCATCCTGCGCGTCGATGGCGTGCCCGTGCACCACCACACGCACCAGCAGGTCGTGCACATGATACGAGGTACGATGATAGGTGATACGAGGTCAGCGCAGCCTCGTGCTCTAGTGGCGTGGCGCTCGGGCCTTCGTGCTGGAGACCGCATCCTGCGCGTCGATGGCGTGCCCGTGCACCACCACACGCACCAGCAGGTCGTGCACATGATACGAGGTACGATGATAGGTGATACGAGGTCAACGCAACGCACAGTACAGCCTCGTGCTTTAGTAGCGAGGCGAGGAGGAGAACGGCGCGGGGACCGCATCCTGCGCGTCGAAGGAGTGCCCGTGCACCACCACACGCACCAGCAGGTCGTGCACATGATACGAGGTACGATGATAGGTGATACGAGGTACGATGATAGGTGATACGAGGTCAGCACAGCCTCGTGCTCTAGTGGCGTGGCGCTCGGGCCTTCGTGCTGGACCGCATCCTGCGCGTCGATGGCGTGCCCGTGCACCACCACACGCACCAGCAGGTCGTGCACATGATTCGAGGTACGATGATAGGTGATACGAGGTCAGCGCAACGCACAGTACAGCCTCGTGCTTTAGTATCGAGGCGAGGAGGAGAACGGCGCGGGGACCGCATCCTGCGCGTCGTCGGAGTGCCCGTGCACCACCACACGCACCAGCAGGTCGTGCACATGATACGAGGTATGATAGGTAATACGAGGTCAGAAAAGCGCATGGCACAGCCTCGTGCTCTAGTGGTGAGGCGAGGAGGAGCACTTCCATGGATGAAATGATGATGATGACGACTATGATCTGCTCAATAATATATCCTTGAATGTAGCAACGCGGAAATCTTAATGCTGTACCTAGCTGTGTCCATACAAAATGGTGATAGCATTTTGAGATATTCCTTAATCATCATCCATTTTTTATGCATAACAAGGCAGGTATTTGACCACAACACAATCGCACCTGGTGTTAAGTGGGATGCAGTCTAGGATGGTACATATCTGCCCTGTAAGAGCTTGTGATTCTGTAGCCCAAGTCATGTCACTTTTAGCGCTGTCTGTTGATCTGTTCCATCGATAAAAACAATATCAATCCAATTCGATTGGTGTACAAAGAAAGGTTTTACTTTTAAATGAATGCCACTCGTATCGTAATTGAGAGTGAAAGCCGATTTATTCTCATGTTACTCTGAAATGAAAGAGCTAATTTAATAAACGGAATGAAAAATGTTATTTGATGCTTGGTTAAATAGTTGCTGTAGTATTTTTCCTATTTTAAATGTATTTTTACAATATTGCGAACGATTTAAGATTTTACAGTTAGCATCAAAAGTTGGTGACACCCAAAGTGGCCAAAAAGTTGACAACACAACCTTATTCCAATGAGGGCTATCGTTTTTATACTTAACAGTTGGCACCCCTGGCGATTGACAGGACCTTACTCTACAGTGGCGCCATCTTGATGAGTGCAAATGCGATAGTCCTCCTATCACTTTAGCGCTCACCAGTTGGTGCCACTGTCTTCGCGACTTGCAAGTGACAGGACCTTACTCTACAGTGGCGCTAACTGGTGAGCGCTAAAACGATAGCCCTCATTGTAACAAAGACGTGTTACGAACTTTTTGGCTACTTTGGGTGTCACGAACTATTTGACGGCGACGCTGACTGTTTTCTTGGTAATATTATATTTTCACTATTTCAAACATCTACAAGTATGAGATGGTTAAATCATATTTCAATAGATTTGTCCCTGCGACGGGGTTTTTCCAATTGATCAATTGGTCCACATAACCGTTCTGTAAAATGTCTTTGGTGATTCATATCTTAAATTAGCTGGATAGACGCCATCACGAAGGCCACTGAGTCCACCATGGTCCAATGTACTCGCGACGCCCCTAACCGTCAGAAATGGAAGCACATCGCCAGGAGAGCTACCCTCGGAGATGACATCACCCCACCAGGTACCTCGTCAGCGCAACCACGACCACTCTGACAAGAGTGCCCGACTAAGAAGAGAACTTAAATTAATAATCTCGAGACATCAGCTCCATAACTAATCCGTAAATATTTTCGCATTATTACCAGCTCCATAATTGATTGTTTGTCTGTACGTTTCAGCTAACCCCGTGACCGTGCTGACGGTGCAACAGAATGCGTCCCGCCATAAAACACCCATCACAGCGCCCGTGCCTGTCAACGTAAGTATTAAATATTAATTAACACTTTCGTTTTGTATTCTTTGGGGATAGTTTGTATCCATGGTAGATGATTTCTCCCAAAATAGGCTTTTTGTCTATGTAGACAAGTGGGTGGGCTTTTTAGACCAACTTTTAGAACGACCTAATGATTGACAATTTTTATAGTGATTTACAGCTATTTACGGATGTTTTATAGTGAATGTTTCCAAGTTAGGGCCAGTTTCACTAGTATAACACAGTTCTTTATAAGGTTTCAGATGGTTTATAAAGTTATGTATTTAATTTTATCAAATAAAGACATCTGTAGGCCTAAGATGCGCGCCGTGATAACTTTTATCGACGTCAAAATGTATGGGCAAAATCGATAAAATGGCGTGATAACCGCTTATCGCGGCGCGCATCCTAGGCCTACTGGTCTGGTTACTGTCTGCTAGATATTTATATCCGAAACTGATAAAAGTTGTAGTTTAACCTCAGAATACAGAACNTGGAGTAATTTATATGAATACACATTTACGCCCGTTGACGGTTTCTGGTTTGTTCCGTATTCTGAGAGTTTAACTGACAGGTAAGATCCCAATATGCAGCAGTGGACATCAAGTACTAGTGAAACTGACCCCTAATATCCTTGAATATAAAAAAATACAAATCAGTTACAAGATTGCCTATCGCCATTTTGCCTTGCGAATCAAGAAGAAGGAATCTCGGATACACATCCTGAATCATGCTTTGAGACTAGCTGCGTTTCGATACGCGCTTAGAATAACTAATTAAATACCGATATAAAATAACGATATATGACATCAATGTTTTACTGGTTGATTTGAAAGACTTCCAAGCCTAGCCCTTTGATGCATCGAAAATACAAAATTACAACCAGCCAGAAGTGTATTTATTGCAGCAGTTAAATGCAAACAATCTTGCATAAGAGCTGAGTAAACACACTTGCCGTTTGATCATATCTACGTCACAACACAGCACACGTTGTAAAACTACGTAACTATTTATTACTTTTCTTGTGGCTTTGCAATACTTTGCATGCGTTGGCGCATGGGGTCAGTCTAGAAGCCTAAACACTCGGGATTCGTGTAGCTTCCCATAAATTTGAGAATTGATAGAAGAAATTTGGATACATATGTATTCCTACTTCACCAATATCATTATTATTGACAATATTTTGATTAAATCATCTACCTTATGTTTGCTTTTGACTGGAAAAGATCAGTCAAATGTGACATTAACGAAGGGCATCAGTCAAAACCACTTTTGGCTTATGTTTGCAGTCAAAAATGGTTTTGACCTATTATGAGTTTTGACTGTAACATTGCATTGAATTAATTCTATTCGAATCAAAACTTCACTGGCCTCTGCGTTGCGGTAAAATGACAATATGCTCTCTACCATTACAATTAGGTACCTTAAAATCCAACATTGTTTAGTGCTTAACACTGTACGTTTTCATCAGAATATTCTACTAACTCACTTACTTGCATACGTAACTGTAGTTAACTTACTGGAGTTCCTAGTGACGTGCGCCGCGTAGGAATGTCATACGCCGACCTCAACGATGTGTGCTCAGCTGATCGCGCGAAGGTTCCGGTCGGCTAGATTTCTCGTGCTTTGTTTGATGACACGCTGGTTTATAGTCAAGTAGCATTCTACTCGCGGTTTTGAGCTTCGTAACAAATTCAATAAAATGTAGGTGTAGCACTATGTAGTTCACATCCACCCCCACTCTTCCCGTAGATGTCGCAAAGGCGGCTTACGAACAAAAATGCGAATATCAAGCCTGCCCATTATCCAAATACTTCACTTAGGCACTGGTACCTATATTAGAGGAGTAAAAATGACCCGATAATGTATGTGTTCACACATTTTAAGGTATTCTTTGAAACGCACCCATTTTCAAACGAAATTTGGAGATACCTACTTAGCTAAACGAATGCGAATAGTTTAGGCGCGCTTGAAACTGGGTGCACGTCGGGGAATTCAACCACATTGCCGCATGCTCTTGAAACTTTCAAGAGGAGAGCGTATCTTCACCTTAAAAAGGCCGGCAACGCCCCTGGGTCTGCGTGTGTCTATGGGCGACGGTAATCACTTACCATCAGGTGATCCGTCTGCTCGTTTGCCTCCTGTCACATAAAAAAAAAACAAACAAATAAAATAAATTAAATAAACTCCTAAAGTATTCATTGGATTTTGGTCTTTATTCTTTACTCACTTAATGCCTTATTCGCCTGCAGCCGGAGAAGCAGCGTCAGCTAGAGGCAGCTAAAGCCCGCACGGTGCGCCTGATGCTGGAACAGGAGCTCAAGTACATCCGCGACCTGCGCCGTGAGTACATTACAAATCTTAACACTGGTTTCAAAATAGGATTATATTCCCCTTTCCATTTCCATGTCATTTCATTTCCTTACATTTCCATTTCATTTCATTTCATTTACATTTTAGTTACATTTCATTTAAATTTCATTTACATTTCATTTACATTTCATTTACATTTCATTTACATTTCATTTACATTTCATTTACATTTCAGTTACATTTCAATTACATTTTAATTACATTTCATTTACATTTCACTACATTGCATTCCCATTTCATTACTATTTCGTTTTTTCTATATCAATTCAGATGGCATCGGCATGGGACACACTGAAAACCAGTTTCTTGGCCTGGCGTCACCGTGTGTCATGTTTTCATGACATATTATAGAGTGGGCTCCCATTCCAAATAGGCATAGCAATAGAATAGAATTATTTATTTGCAAATGCGACAATGTGGAACTGTTCAGTCTATTGTTCCTTCTTTATTCGTGTTTTTTTAGGCGATTATCGCTAAATTCGCATTTCAGATCTAAGTTTTGGGTACTTTTTAAGTTTAGATCCTTTAAATCCTTTAGTCTTAGTGACTTATTTATTTGGACATAATAGGCTAGTTGCCTAAAAAAATTTTTTTAGTCCGTAATGTTTAATATCAAAAAATATTGGACACATATATTTTTATTTGTCAATCTAACAAATAATTACATAGTTATGGTGCGTTGAAGTAGCGCACGACGTCACAACGTGCGGCATTTTTAAGCAAGCGTTGACGTCACGGGCCTCTTCTTATGAACTTTGGGGCGCTTTATCTCTTTAAATTTTCATTAGTTTGAAAAAGTGAAAAATACGTGTAGAGTATTTTTTGATAAGTTAACTGACGGACTAATTAAAACTCTTGCTTTTTGACCCAGGCAACATCCCCATTGTGTGCTTTCTGTTTCACTGTATGTTGCATGCCAATAATGAGGGCTATCGTTTTAGCGCTCACCAGTTAGCGCCACTGTAGAGTAAGGTCCTGTCACTTGCTAGTAGCGAAGACAGTGGCGCCAACTTGTGAGCGCTAAAATGGTAGGAGGACTATCGCATTTGCACTCATCAAGATGGCGCCACTGTAGAGTAAGGTCCTGTCAATCGCCAGGGGTGCCAACTGTTAAGTATAAAAACGATAGCCCTCATTGTCGTTGGTTAGATGTGTGAAACGGACAATACGGACATTCATTGTTTATCACTATTTTGGTACCACATTTACCGCAATAAAGAAATTCTATTCTATTCTAAAAGTTGCATATTTTCCAATGTGGATAGAGTTACATTAATATGTTCTCATGATATTTTTCCAGAGGAGCTGTCGAAGGTTCCAGACGTTCGCAAGCAAGCGCAACTAGAGTCGGCCGAGCTACGCTGTTCTAAGCTACAGCGGGAGATCGACTCCATCATCACGGGACAGGTGACGTGCACTCTATTGCTTGTGTGTTAAGAGCTATTTTACTTTACGCTGCATACGCTGTTCCAGGTGAAGGAGTTGGGTAGTTTAAGCAAATGTAGTGCGAATATAGTGATGATAAGGTGTATATTTCATCAAAACGGTGCACTATAAGGTCAAGCGCTTAACTGAGCGAGTACCTGAGGTATGGGAACGACACGGGAGGGTGTTTTCGTAACAGTCAAATGTCAGCGTGACTTCAGATCTGCTTCAGTCGGCCGTTTGGTGTAGTGGTTCGAAATGGACTACTATTCCGGAGGTTGCGGGTTCGATTCCCGCACAGTACAAAGATTTGTGTGCATGAACATATTTGTTTGTATTGGACTGGGTGTTTTCTATGTATAATATGTATGTATTTACAAAAAAAAAGTATATAAGTACGTTTATATCCGTTGTCTAGTACCCATAGTACAAGCTTTGCTTAGTTTGGGACTAGAAGCGCAGTGTAAAATGTCCAAGGATATTTATTATTATTATTTATATGATCTGTCACGTCACAATATGTCAATGACACCCGTCCCGTGCCGCTTTCATACCTCAGATACGTATGCCCGTTTTCACCATCAATCCCTAATTTTTAAGTGACCCCTATAAAACAAAATTCCTGTTATGTGTTACCATAGGGATCACTTAAAAAATTGGGATTGATGGTGAAAACTGGCATGACTCATTTTAGAGCAAATTGACTGTTTGATCACAGTTCATGAAATATGCACCGTATGTCAACATATTTGGACTTAATTTGTCGTTACTTGAAACTTCTTCACCTGGATTCATACAGCACATACGCAGCGTAATATTTGTATTGGCATCATAAGATGTTATACTGTTTCTCTAAAAGTGCTGTATGGGTGAACGTGACAACACACTCAGTTGTCTCTTTCTACCATACACACATACTGGGCACTGTATACAGATGTACACAGTAACGCATACATTTTATGTTCATCATTCCATCATTCACGTTGTGTTTTGTTTGCGACGACAGTTTACTATGTTGCGTTTTAGTTTGTACAACACAATTTTTGGTTTTATATCTAGTTGCGAAGTAATACTGCATTGTTGTGGCGTTGAAAATTAATTTTTATTTTGATTTGATATATTTTTTAATGGCGCAAGTACACTATGCAGAAAATTGTCCAAGTCGAAGCGCTATCCCGCACACCGAAGTATTCGCCAACACGCGAGGGGAAAGGAGAAATTAACCGAGATGGTGTTCACACTATTACGTGTTGGCCAATTCCCCGCTGTGTATTTGCGCCATGGCGAAAAAGCGAAGATTACGACTACCAGTTAGCGCCACTGGCAAGTGATATGATAAGATCTTACTTGACAATGGCGCCAACCTGGTGATTGCAAATGTCATACGCCCGTATTCACAAACGATGCTCGCTTAAGTGAAGCAGCAAATCGAACGCACAGCGTTGAATAGAGCTCTGTGATTGGTTCGTGTGTTACCCTGTGCGTCCAGGCACACTGTGAGACCTCATAATAATGTTTGTGAATACGGGCATTAAGCCTCCTACCGCTCTAGCGTTCACTAGTTGGCGCCACTGTCTTAGTCATAAGCAAGTGACAGGACCTTTCAGGAGGACAATGGCGCCAACTAAAAAAAGGCGCCAAAGTATAAAAGATGGTAACGCCATCTACCAGAATTTAAACGAGAAGTTTTTGTTAGAATTTTAATTTCAACGCCACAACCACAGAGGCGAAAGTGCGCCTGTCATCAAACTAACCCGAGCCACTCAATTGGTACCTAACCCAGTGAAAAGGGACTAAAGTCTGTCCAATGAAGGCTGAGAGCGGCCATAGACAAGAGTTGACCATAGACTAGTTGACAAAGAGATTCCTCGTTGTGGATAAAAAAAATGTTGACAGTGCTGTTTCTGAATTTCGAAAATGTTAATTTTATAAAATTATGTGCTGTGATTCTTTGAATAGTAACTTTCTGTCATATTATGTTCTTTTCGAAGAGATGAAAAGAGACAAACAGTGTTACATTACAGTGGTATAAAGCTGTTTTAAATAAGAGGCGAAATAAATTCTAGTTAGTAAAAATACCTTTTATAAAGAACTTTATAGATATTAAGAATAAATTCCAAAAGATATTTTAAAATGGAAATCTGAGGAAATGACAGTGAATCATTCGACTTTTTTGATTTCGATTCGACACGAATCATAGACCAAAGTGTTACCTTGTCTATGCCCGCTCCCAGCTTTCATTGTGTAGGCTGTATAGCTGGTCTGCTCTGTGCATGCTTCTTGTGACGTAGTCACTAAATGTTCACATACATACACACGTATTTAAGTATTTGTTGTTTGATATTTATTGTATGTTCATTCATTTGTGATTGTGATGTCTTTACTGGTCATATTTAGACATTTCAGATGATTTTTACATACAGGAGTTATAATTTAATTGCTAGATGTTACTGTAGTATATTGTGTGAATTTGTATTTTATCTATATTCAATGTAAATCGTAAAATTAAGCATAATAATTGAACATTGTGTATTTTTTTGTCCTAATACGTTTTATCTATGTATAAAATATTTCATATTGTTTATATCAAGACTGTATCACATAAACACAGTTGTGTTTTTAATTTTATTTGTATTTATTATGCGGTCGAAATTATATTTTGTCGGAAACGAACGTTTCACATAGATTTGCAATTTTATACCCCTATTTTAAAGAAGAAAATGGATTGAATATTTTCCAAGAATGTAAGTAATGTTTTTTCAGTGTAATATTTAACGCGGAATCTCATTCAATATTATTGTTCTAGTTAAAATGCGTTGTGTATGTAATTATTAAGTTAATTATGTATGTATTTAAAATGTTATATAACGCAAGAAATGTGCATAGAACCAGACAGTTTAAAATTAACTTAATTTCTACTAATTAATTAAAAATGTAACTTTCGTCTCATTCATTGTGGTTACGGGTTATGTAATTGTAACGTAATAATATTTTGTGTCGGTTTAAGTTCTTGTGTCGTAGCGCGTTTAGTATTTTAGTCCTTATTGAAGCATTTCTAATGGTGAGTCAGAAAAGCCTGAAGTTGTGAGGGTTTTGGACCTATCAAGGCTTAGGGCCGTTTTCCACCAAAGCGGAGACGAGACGAGATGTGCGGAGACAATTCTCATAACGGAAAGGTTCTTTCAACCAAAGCGGAGCGGTTCCTCTTTTCTTCACGCCCCCGTTAGGCTCCATTTTGCTCGTTCGTTCGTTTGTTTCAGCCGAAAGACGTCCACTGCTGGACAAAGGCCTCCTCCAAGGATTTCCACAAAGACCGGTCCTGTGCCGCTCGCATCTAGGCACTTCCTTCACCAGATCGTCGGTCCACCTAGTGGGAGGCCAGCCCACGAGCCGGAAGACGTAGCGTGAGCAGGCCATTTTGCTCAGTGCGACATATTTTGTTTGGAAATCTCATTTCCCTTCTGCTCAATCGTTTTCTCTGAAGCTCAAAAGAGACGAAACCTATAAATATTCGTCCTTAACCTATAGGGGACCCTGTGCATTTGTAGATCGAGGATGGCTTTTTCCTAAAAATAAATAAATAAAAGAGAATTACAACGATTACGCATAGCTGACAATATTTACTGGTTACTGTTGATTTTTTTTGTTTTTTCCTCAAGAGAGTTAAAAAAAGGAGACCTGTAACACATCTCGTGGGCTTAGTCATCAAAATGACAACTTCTCAAAATGACAACCGGGACGCAAAATGTCCACAAATAATCGAAATATCCGAAATAGACAATATTATCATGAGAAGTTGTCTTTTAGCGAAGTTGACATTTTAAGAAGTTGTAATTTCGAGAAGTGGACATTTTGCATCCCGGTTGTCATTTTGAGAAGTTGTCATTTTGATGACTAAGCTATATCGTGTCCTTTGGTGGGTATCGAGCCTCACTGTCGTTGGTTGCTCTCAGCCACTGAAGACGAGACGTGTTTATAATGGGACTCTACTTGCTTTCATTGCAACAACACATCATCTCGTCTCCCCTCGTGTCTTTTGATGGCAATTCAGCCTGAAAAGTGCGTGAGATTCTGTTCGTATTTTCGGGTCTCTGTCCGTATTGCTTTCGCTCATTGAGACAGAGACGTGTGTATTCTCTTGGTGTGAGGTGCTCATTGTCGCTGGTGCCCATAGCTGCTGGAGACGAGCTCATAAAACATCTTGTCTCACATTGCGTTTACTGTTTACGTATATCTCTGTCCCTATCGCTCTCGCTCAGCGAGAGAGGGATGGCCATACTATCGTGGGGTGGGGTGCTCATTTGTGCGAGACAGAGACGTATATTATCCTGGGTTGGAGGCTGATTGTTGCTGTCCGCAGCCGCTATAGACAAGGCTATTGGTTACCCATAACACATCTCGTCTGCTTTGTGTTTAAGCTCTCGCTTAAGCGAGAGAGGGACGGGTAGATTGTCGTGGGGAGTGGCCCTTGATGATCACCGCCCCGCTCTCGAGAGAGACAGAGAAGGTTATGCTGTCGTGAGGTGCAACAAAACGCCTATTATGTGTTACCATAGAGGTAACTTAAAATTAGGAATTGATGGTGAAAACGGGCAATAGTCTCTTATAACTGTCGTCTCCACTGTGGCGGTATACAAGTCACATTACTGCGTTATTCGCTAACGCTGTATCTATTTGTCCCTGTCGCTCTCGCTCAGCGAATGTGGGACGGCCATACTATCGTGGGGTGCTGATTGTCGCTCGCAGCCGCTGGAGCCGGCTTATAAAACACTGTGGGTAATCAAGTCTCACGTTATCCATTAACGCTGTATCTATCTGTCCCTGTCGTTCTCGCTCAGCGAGACAGAGACGTATATTATCCTGGGTTGGAGGCTGATTGTCGCTATCCGCAGCCGCTGGAGCCGTGCTTATAAAACTCTTTGGGTAATCCAGTCTCACGTTATCCATTAACGCTGTATCTATCTGTCCCTGTCGCTCTCGCTCAGCGAGACAGAGACGTGTATACGTGGGGTGCTCACTGTCGCTATCCGCAGCCGCTGGAGCCGGGCTTATAAAACACTGGGTAGTCAAGTTTCACGTTATCCATTAACGCTGTATCTATCTGTCCCTATGGCTCTCGCTCAGCGAGACAGAGACGTATATTATCCTGAGGTGGTCAGCTCATTGTCGCTATCCGCAGCCGCTGGGGCCGGGCACGCGACGCGCGCTCGACGCGAGCAACGTTATTCGCTAACTTATTATCGGATCGCTCTGACTTCTCTGTCCTTCTCGCTCTGGCTAAGTAAGACAAGGACGAGTATATTCTCGTTGGGTGGGGTGCTCACTGTCGCTGTCCGCAGCCGCTGGAGCCGGGCACGCCTCTGGGCACGCGGCGCGAGCAACGTTATTGGCTAACGCTAACGTATTGTCGGATCTCTGACCTCTCCGTCCCTGTCACTCTCGCTAAATGAGACAGAGACTTGGGGTGTTCATTGTCTGCGGTCCGCTGCCGCTTTAGCCGGGCTTATAAAACATCTTGTCTCACTTTGGCGCAGTACGTATTTTCGGGTATATCTGTCCCTGTCGCTCCCTCTGTGCGAGACAGAGACGTATATTATCCTGGGTTGGAGGCTCATTGTCGCTATCCACAGCCGCTGGAGCCGGGCACGCCGCTGGGCGGGCGGCGCGCGCCGCCGGGCTTCCTCAGCGGCCTGCCGCGCTCGCTGTCCAACCTCACCGGCCAGAGCCTGCGCCACTTGCGCCAGGTACTACATGTTCATACTAGCCTTGGGCAGACCAAACGCGGGGCAGTAGCAGCGCAGTTTGAATGCGGGCCCGCGCAAGTTGTTATACAAGAAACTCTTTGAAGTATGTCACACCAAATGGCAATGCCAGATTTTGTATGGAAGGTGGCGTCTTTTTTTTTCGCGCGGCCATCGACCAATCCTTGTTTTTTGATTACAAAATAGTGTAATAAACCAAACTTACTATGACATGTATACCTCTAAACTCAGTCTAAAAGACAATGCCGGAAATAGGCGTCTTTTTTTTTTTCGCGCGGCCATCGACCAAACTTTGTTTTTTGATGACAAAATAGTGTAATAAACCAAACTTACTATGACATATATACCTCTAAACTCAGTCTAAAAGACAATGCCGGAAATTGGCGTCTTTTTTTTTTCGCGCGGCCATCGACCAAACTTTGTTTTTTGATGACAAAATAGTGTAATAAACCAAACTTACTATGGCAAGTATACCTCTAAACTCAGTCTGAACTGAGTTACGAGCATTAGAAGTTTGATGATTTTCATACTAGAATTGCTTTTTGCGAGCAAGTTTTGTAAGAAATTGCAACAAAATATTGCGCTATTTATTTATTGCGCTGATTCTGCTGCATACTGATGTCTGGAGCCTTTAATGGATGACATTGTTTGTTTACACATACAATGTCACTATTTTGTTGCAATTTCTTACAAAACTTGCTCGCAAAAAGCAAATCTAGTATGAAAATCATCAAAATCAAAAAATCAAAATCAAAAAATATTTATTCAGTTTAGACCACAAGTGGCACTTATGAACGTCAATAGAAAATAATAAAAAAAGAAAAAGGTAGCCCTTATGGGGCACTTTACATGTATCCTTATCTTTTGGGCCCTACCAGCGCTTCGAGACAAACATATGGCAAGTGCTGAGAAGAAACGCCGGAACAAACTCAGTCACCACTTATTGCCAGGAATTATCTAACGGTAATCATTAGACATCGGATTATATGCATTTGCATTATTGCATATGCAAACGCATATAATGCTATTTTTATAGCGTTATTGCATATTTTGGTACTTTTTCATTGACAGTGCTTATTTTAGTATTTATACGTGTTAGACGTGTTGTACTTCGCCGCCGTCCCCACGCCAAACATCAACACATCGCCCTCGCACGCACTGCGAGCGATCCGTACCAGTGTTGCCAGTCGGGTCTTGTCAGAAATGACCAGAAATATAAAAAAAATGTAACCTTTTTGAATAAAAAGTAACCTTCATTAGGGGGGGGGGGGAAGGGGGTTGCGGAGCGAAAATGAATGACCATTCCATGAAGACCGAAAAGTGACCGGTCGTATAAAAACGTTTCCTGGATTTGCGTTTTATTATCAAAAAACATTCGCTAAAATTCATTTTTTTTAACAAACAATAAATCAAATTCATGTTTAAATGCAGTTTATGACATAATTTTTAAATTGTCACTATTAATATTTTTTACTATATTTATATTGTCACAAGAATTACAACCAATAAGTACCTATATAATTAATTAATTATGTATTGTGAAAATAAAGTTAATTCTAATAATGTTTTTTTGATTGTGCATATTTTGTGCATATTTCGCCCTTTTTTAGTGCATATTTGCATGCATATTTTGGCATTTTGATAGTGCATATAATCCGATGTCTAGTAATCATCATCAAACTTCTAATGCTCGTAACTCAGTTCAGACTGAGTTTAGAGGTATACTTGCCATACTAAGTTTGGTTTATTACACTATTTTGTAATCAAAAAACAAAATTTGGTCGATGGCCGCGCGAAAAAAAAAAGACGCCACCTTCCATACAAAATCTGGCATTGCCATTTGAACGCGCGCACTGCAACTGCCGAACGACAAACCAGGCGGCGCGGGAGCGGGACAGAAGCGGCGCGAACGCGGGCCCGCGCTGTTGTATTACTATGGCGGCCATATTAGCATGACTCACCGGAGGCAGGGCGGTAGCAGCGCGTTGAAAGCGGTGTTCGAATATTAAAATTTTTGACAACCGCCCGCGTTGCAACTGCTTTGAAACTGCGCTGCTCTCAGTGTGCCTCAGCCGCGCTGCAACTGACCCGCACTGCTTCTGACCCGCGTTTGGTCTGTGGAAGCCTTTAAGGCTGGTTTTAGAGTCGCGCTGATCGCACGCTGATCGTCGGCGCTTACAGATCAATATGTATGTAATTGAAGGAAACGTTCCTGAGTGACGCTGATCGCTCGGCGCCGACGCTTCATACAATTCCGCTGTCAGCGCTGACGGTCTGCGTACGTCAGCGTGACTCTAAAACCAGCCTAAGATTTTTGGGACGGCAACAATATCTATGCATGTGTACAAGTTTATAATAAAACGACAGGCAGGTTAGATTAGGTTATGCAGTTACCGTTGTTTTAGGGCTATATTTCACCGGGACACCATGGCGGCGCAACCAGTCGCCGGCTACCAACAAAATGTATACAGCTCTATAGAGAGTTACTCACCTGGTGTCCGTTTGGTTGCGCAAAGCTGCATACATTTTGTTGGTATAGTCTGGTCTGTGAGCACGTAGAATTTTGTCTAATGACCCCGAGCTACCCATCCTTATCGCTCGCGCGTAATTATGTTGCTATCGCGCTCGCACACTCACTGCGGGTGCCAGTCGCACAGTCGCGACAGTAATATAATTACGCGCGAGCGATAGGGATGGGTAGCTAGGGGTCATTGGACAAAATTCTACGTGCTCACGGACCGAGCTTTAGCGGCGACTGGTTGCGCCGCCATGGTGTCCCGGTGAAATATTGCCCTTAATCGTAATAAAATCTGTTTGTTAATATTCTAGTTTATGTTGTAATAAGAAGAAGTTACTAAAAATTCTATTGAAGTGAAGGTCCGCCCTGATGCTTTTATTTTCGAGTTGTATCTTTGAAGCCCTTGTAAACGTGAATCGCGATTATACGTTCAATATTTGAGGTGGGATGACAACTCTTAGCATGCCTCCGGTCTTGTGTGTCAGGCGCATAAATTAGAAATAACTCGTTTTTAATGTAAATTGTATGTTTAGAGAGCATTATTGAACCCTATTAGTTATTTACAAGGACATTATATTTTACTCAGAAATGGGCCTCTTATTAAAGCATTTATTTTGTTTAAATACTGTATCTACCTTAAAACAAAACCTACCGCGTCTACAAACCGCTAATCTCCCAGGCGCGACTGAACAAGACGCAAGAGGCACCGCCGCTCGCTCGCCAGAACAGCGACGATTCCCCGCACAACCACACCGTGCCCCTCGTCCCCACCACCTGCCTGGACAACGTGTCCCCACCCCCTCTCCCCCCTAGAGCTACCGACCGCCGATCCACCCTGTCCCCTCCCATCAACCCCCTAGCCAAACCCAAACCCACCTCCAGCAAAACCCCCAAAAGACTCCCCGACAAACCGTTCCCTATGCACCAATCCATGCCTCCGTATCAAGATCAGAGGCTCCGGTCGTCGCATTCACTTGATGGGGACTTGGAGGGGCCGCAGCCGAATTCCATAGCGCTGCAGATGAGCTACCCGCTGGTTAATGTGCCTCCGCCGCCGTTGCAGGTATGATGTGGGTCTTTCGAAGGTCGGATTGAAGGCATAGACTATAGATTGTGTGCGCACAGATACAGAATGGATAGAAACGATAAACTAAACTATACTTACGAGCAAAAATATGGAATCACCCCCTTGTGTTTTGTACCGAGCGAACTTAAGAACTGAATGACTATGTATGTATCAGTGGCATTAATTTAAAGTTTATAATATTACTTTTAAAATGGTGCCATTTTTATTTGCCTTCTATTAGTCATTTAGTTTTTGTGATCGCTCGAAACAAATAGGGTGATTCCATATTTTTGCTCACGAGTGTAGATCAACATACTCTTTAGTTTTTTTTGCATAGTGGTTCTTATATCACTAAATACTTTAATAAAAAGTAGTATTTTTTTCTGTATCTCTGTAATAGCGAATCGAAGGGGACAGCAAACACTTTGGTAAACTTAACAGCTGTCAAATATCCAGAGATAAAAAAGTAAATAACATTTCGATGGAAGAACACTGAAAGATCATTTTCGTTACACATTTCAAAGTTGATATTCTGTCTCTTTTCGTTACCTATAGAAAAAATGAGAGGGCTTAAATTGTTTTAGTTTTGGATCTGGTCAATAGAGAATTGTAATTGCGTACTATTATAAGAATCTAGTCCATTCTGTAACTGTGTCGATTATTATTTCTTAAACATCATTAAAATACAACCTTTGAAAGACCCAACAAAAACTATTATTCATTCTATAGATGATTTTTCATCGTCAAATCTATCATGATCGTAACTAAACTAATTTATTTGACGACGAAAACTCATCCTTATTGCTATAGTAACAAGGTGGTGGTTATCACAACTCGCTACATCTATGCAGTGTGTGAAACAGACAACCTTAGCATTTTATATGTACCTTTTATTAAGCTTCTTTTTTCATCAATCACATACATTATTATGCTATTTTTCATTCATTCACGCTAAGTAGGTTCTACTTAAGATTTCAAATGAAATATACGGGGTTGTACCATTTATTTGTCTCATATGTTACCATTATGTAATGTATCAAATTTGCCTAAAAGCAATGTGTTAACGTTTCAAAACAGTGACTAACTAATCTTGTTACTTTACATGGGATTCTTTAGGTTGTTAAGAACATAAATATTTGAGTTGTAATAATTTTTACTAAAATATTTTGGGCGTTATGTAGGTAACTGTAGGTTACAGTCTGGAGTATAAATATTTGTTTCAAAAAGTGACTCGATTGGTTGAAGTCTAAAATGTAAAGAATATTATAGCTCAAATAGAAAAAAAAACTTATCTTCCAATTTCATGGGGTTACCCAGATAGACCCAAAATGGTGTAGTTATAATAAAGCTGACTTTGCATTGGACATTCTAAAGACGACAGCACGTCAAGCTATACACTGAAACATCTTATTCAGATGTAATAGCTGCTATATTGCCTCAAAAAGTATAGTCTGATCTGCTGTACTCTTACAGGCAACTATCCAATGCTGTTAGCCAAGCGAAAACTGATCTTGAATACATAAATAATAGAGTTCATTTTTACATACAGACGGACAACAGATCGAGTGTGCCAGTGTTGCACGTCCGAAGCCAGTCGTCGCCGGAACAGCTGGATACAGAGGCGCCTCCGATGCCGAGACGTGAGTGGATTGTTTGTTATAACGCGGTTAATAGTATCAGGCGTTACTTAATATCCTACTAAAGCCTGGTCCGTGGGCACGTAGAATCCCGTCCAATGACCCCAAGCTACCCATCCTTATCGCTCGTGCGTAATTATATTGCTGTCGCGACTGTGCGACGCGCGAACGCAGTGAGTGCGGCCGATAAGGATGGGCAGCTTGGGGTCATTGGACGGGATTCTACGTGCTCACGGACCAGGCTTTAATTATAAAGGCGAAAAATTGTGTGGATGTTTGTTACTCTTTCACGTAAAAACTACTGAACGGATTTGGTTGAAACTTTACAGTATTATTATTTGTAACCCAGATTAACATATAGGCTATAATTTATGCGAATCTGTGGCACTAAATTTCACGCGGGTGAAGCCGCGGGCAATAGCTAGTCTGTTATAATGCGGTTGTAGGTTCGACTCTCGTAGGAAGCAATTTTGGTGAGAGTGCTGATGGAGATGTAAAAGTTTGTATACAGGGTGTAAGGGAGAGCTTGGCATAACTTAAATGACGTAAGTTAAGAAAAAACATTGGTCTTTCTTCAAGTTAAATAAAAGTTGACTTTGCTATTTTTTTTCTTCGTTACACAGCATTTTTGTATTTAAAATTAAAATAATAACAAAGTTTTAGGAATATGACACTTTTATTCGAAAAATTTATTAAAACGAAATTAGTTCTACTCAACACATTTAATCAAATCATTAACATCATCAAATCACTTCAAAGTCTGCAACATGAGTAGAGTATACGTGGACACGGCGGAACCGAACGTCACGAGTAGTCCGTAGTCCAGCCGGTAGAACCCGCCGGTCGTGAACCGGACGGGCCGGTCCAGGACCACGCCGCGGAGAGAGGATAGGTCGCTTCTCATGGACGGGCCTGGAAGAGAGAGCCTTGATACAGTATAGTAACAACGACACGAGCCCGTAGTCCAGCCGGTAGGACCACGCCGCGGAGAGAGCACAGGTCGCTTCTCATGGACGGGCCTGGAAGAGAGAGCTTTGGTACAGTATAAACAACGACACGAGCCCGTAGTCCAGCCGGTAGAACCCGCCGGTCGTGAACCGGACGGGCCGGTCCAGGACCACTCCGCGGAGAGAGGACAGGTCGCTTCTCATGNGACGGGCCTGGAAGAGAGAGCCTTGATACAGTATAGTAACAACGACACGAGCCCGTAGTCCAGCCGGTTGGACCACGCCGCGGAGAGAGCACAGGTCGCTTCTCATGGACGGGCCTGGAAGAGAGAGCTTTGATACAGTATAGTAACAACGACACGAGCCCGTAGTCCAGCCGGTTGGACCACGCCGCGGAGAGAGCACAGGTCGCTTCTCATGGACGGGCCTGGAAGAGAGAGCTTTGATACTACTGTATCTGTAATGGTAACACTACTATTCCCACCTCTCGATCCCACCGCTGCATCTCCTATGTAGCCAGGATCTAAAGCTTGACCGTCAATAACAACCCAACCAGTGAAGGTCAAGTTTGTCCCAGGGTAAAGTTAAACTGTCATTGGACTCGCAACGAAATTCTTGCAGCGATATGGAAATCATTGGGGGAGGCCTTATGTTCAGCAGTGGACGTCCTCCTGTGGTTGGAATGATTAGTAACAACGACACGAGCCTTCAGTCCGGCCGGTAGAAGTCGCCCGTCGTCAATAAAAAATAATAAAAACACAACCCTTAGGCCTGCCATACACGGACAGCTTGAAGCAGCTAGTATCGACAGCTTCAAGCTGCGACTGCATAGCAAAATACAGATACAGAACCTCTCGAGCAGTTGCGACTGCTTCGAGCGGTTGGCAGCACGGTGAAATTAATCCTGACTACGACTGCGTAAGCAATTCGTGTATGTTGATCACTGGCTAACTGCTCGAGCAAGGCTCCATTACCGCAGGAACCTACACAGTTATAGATCGCTTCATCCACGAAGACATGCCCCACTAATTTACCGTCTCGGTCGCGCGGGGTGCGGGGAGTTTAATCCGAGCAATCCGGGCGGCATTATAGTATAGTCTGGTCTGTGAGCACGTAGAATTTTGTCCAATGACCCCAAGCTACCCATCTTTATCGCTCGCGCGTAATTATATTACTGTCGCGTCTGTGCGACGGGCGCCCGCGGTGAGAGTGCGAGCGCGACAGCAACATAATTACGCGCGAGCGATAAGGATTGGTAGCTTGGGGTCATTGGACAAAATTCTACGTGCTCAGGGACCGGGCTTTAGTGTGTGTGTGCACTTATGGATGATTTAGCGTGTACGGATTATAACACACAAACATTAGCGGAAGAATGGTGGGGTGCGTCTTCGTGGATGAAATTATCTATATGCGCTATGCCTGTATATTATACTTACTGATATTCCTCCCAATGAGAATGTTGTCCACGGTGCTGATGATTTCATCCCGGTGCTGATAAGTTTTCTCGCATCGGTAGAGCAAACTCCAAAGCGGTGCGATGCAGTTGAATATGGTTATTGACCAAGCGAAAATGGCGTAAGATAGTGGTGTGTCCAATCCCTGCAAATATCAAAGATGAAAAGGAAAATATACATAAGAAGGCTCAAGGACACCCGAAGGGCGATGGAGCGGGGTATGATCTGAGTTTCCCTGCGTGACCGAACCAGAAATGAGGAGATCCGCAGGAGAACCAAAATGATTGATATAGCCCGCAGAATCGCTAAAATCAACTGGCAGTGGGCGGGGCACAAAGCTCGTAGAGCTGATGGCTGCTGGGGCAGAAACGTTCTCGAGTGGCGACCACGAGCCGGAAGACGGTAGTCTGGGCAGGCCTCCCACTAGGTGGACCGACGATCTGGTGAAGGTCGTGGGAGGTGCCTGTATGCGGGCGTCGCAGAACCGGTCTTTGTGGAAAACCTTGGGGTGGCCTTTGTCCAGCAGTGAATGTCTTTTGGCTGACCAACAAACAACGTATAAGTATTAAGCATACTAACCCGATCTAGATTGATGACTCGAATTATATGATGCAGGTAATTACCCATAGTCCACAGTTGAATGACGTTATTCACCATAACCTGAAAGCGAAGATAATGTGATAAGTAAGAACAATAATATTAACAATACAAGTTAAAATATTTGAATAGGCGGACTAACTCTTATGTTACGCATATTAAACTAGCTTTTGCCCGCGGCTTCATCCGCGTGAAATTTAGTTTGTCACAGATAGTTATAAATTATAGCCTATTTGTTATTCTGGGTAATAAATAATAATACTGTAAAGTTTCATCAAAATCCGTTCAGTAGTTTTTGCGTGAAAGAGTAACAAACATCCAAACTTTCGCATTTATAATATTAGTAGGATATTAGTAGGATTAGTATCTGTATCACTTACTCTTACGCCGTATGTTTTGTTTATGAAGATGTTTTGTTCAATCAGCACCAAATAACATTTTTTTAACCAGATGACGTCGCATAAATTGTTGGACACCATAGTTATTGACGGACCAACTCGATTTGCACCAATTTTTCTGTTCAAACTATTGTTCTTCCTTACAATATTACTAACTCCTTCCGTTTTGTTGTTCAAGTAATGTCCTCGAAGTATATCTTTGATTAATTTGAGTCGGTACTCAATTTGTATTATATTAGCGCACGTTTCAATCGCAATAACGGTATTTTTTAAATACATGACGTACTCAATTGGATGAAATTTTAACATTATGTTAATTTTATTAACGATGAAGACCCACGAAGACAAATCAGTTGCTACGTATAAGCAGCAAAGAGAGAATAATCTATAGGTCGTTTTTGTTATTTTTGATTTTATGATTGTATTGTACGTTCCCAAAGCTTGGTCGATTTTTTCGTACAAATCAAAGTATTTTATTGTGAGTTTACTGTACTTGCATACGTAGCACAGATCGACTGCGTACTGTATAGTTTCGTACACGTACAATATTTGAATTAGGCCGACGAAGCCGAAATGGTCTTGTATATACTCGACGGTTGGACATACAAATTTTGACGCGGCTATGATGATTGCAAGGATTATAAATATTACGATGGCTATTTTTAGTTTTAAACCAGAATAAGTTACTAAACGACCGTTTTCACGTCCGACGTTGATTGCTAGAAATACTTTTAGCAATTTATGTATTGGAGTCAAAGTGTCAAATGCGTCTGTGGGTTCATTTCGTTTTTTTCTTGCGTTTTTCATTTCGTCCTGCTGAGTCAACCGGATTTTTGTTGTAGGTCTTTTTGTACGGAGTGTCTCTCTATGTTGTTGTGTAAAGAATGTATTGACAGTGACTATTGGGTAAATGACTCACGCCTTTTATAGGGGACAGGGGTTTTAATTCAATTATGTTTTAACTATGCATTAACTCGCACGTCGATCTCGTGAAACGATAAGGAGTGATGATAAATGATCAATCCTTTTGTAGTCGAGTTAAATAAAATCTCTGACCAATAGGCTGTTACATTTTGTTTATTATCGTTGACAAATTGAAGATAAATGAAATTCAAAAAATATTTTTTTGTATTTGAATTATTTTGTACTTATTAATTATATTTTTCGATCATCTCTGACCATTATTTCAGTGGTATGGTACAAGATTCTATCATGGTATTTATTAAGGTCAGTCGGGCTAGGATGCGTGCCGTGATAATATCTTATCGATGATTTTAGACGTCAACATGTATAAACTCATAAAACTCATTTATTTGTGCAAGTAGGTTTTTAAAAAGCACTTTTACACTTCCCAGTATTAACCCTACCACTGCTTCAGGACAATAAATACTTAGGCCAGTGCTGAGAAGAATCAGCGCAAGAAACTCACTTGTTATTAGGGTTATCGCGTAAAATCGATATAATGGCGTTCTTCTTCTTTTCGTGTCGACAACAAACCTACACAGTGTCAGCCCAAAACTCCGCCACAAGAGTGGCGTTGTCAGTAGCACTCATCATATCCTCCTGAGTGCAGTTGCTTATCACGACGAGCATCATAGGCCTTCAGATTGTGAATTTGAAATGTCCCGTACCTAATTTCTGTATTTTCTTTTGCAGCATGCACGGCAGAAGAAAAAGAGTCGTGGGAGCGCGGCACTCCGCCCCCAGGGACGCCGCCGCCGCCCTACGCACACAATACACAGGTTTTACCAGTTTTTATACGTAAAAGTTCCTAATCCTACCAATAGATGGCGCTGTGCGGAGTTAGATCGCGCGAGTGAAGTTTTCACAGTGCTCTTTATAGGTAAAAATAAATGTTCTCATATGAAGACTATCTGTAGACACAAATCGTTGTTTGCCTATGTCGTTCGTTCAGACAAATGACGCCCACTGCTGGAGAAAGGCCTTCACCAAGGATTTCCTACTTTCCGCGACCTTCAGATCGTCGGTCCGTCTATTTAGAGGCCTGTCCAAACTACGTCTTCCAGCTCATTTGTCTACATGTTATTAAATTAATAAATATGTATTTCCAAAATTGCAGCCATGTGCCGACCCACAGAGAGCCATAATATCGATGGAGGAAGACGACTCGCCGGCTTCGGTAAGTGTTTACACAAAACGTTTTTATTGTCATTAAATACCTGCCTTTTGCTAAATAATTATTTAAAATAAAATAGCTTATTACTTAAGAAAATATTAAAATATTCTGTTCAGCATTCAGTCTACTCGTTTGCCTCCTGTCACATAAAAAAAGCATTTCAAAAATATATTGATTAGATCAAGGATCCTTCAAAATCAGACTAAGGTCAATTGGTCCATCAAGAAACCTTTAAAATTAAACACTGGATCTTTGTTTATATTTATGTGTAATTAGTATGATAATACTTTTCTGCAGGACAACTCGACGTACTCTGGGCTGTTCTCGAATCTTCGCTCGGTGCGAGAATCCAAAGCGAGGACGGCTGTTCTGCTCAATTGGCTTCTAGGGGAGAGGAGGTAAGGCTTTGCGAAACAGAAAATTTTCCTGCTGTACGTCAAAACGTTGCATCGTTAGCAACTAGGGTTTCTGCTCGAGCCTTCTCGAACTCGAGAAAACTCGAGAAATTTGGCTTCATTCGAGACGAGAAAAAAATTGCCGGAGCTCGAGAATTCTCGAGTTTCGATTTTGAAGCTTTAATACTCTTGATAGCCTGTTTTCTTAGACAAAAGTAAAAAACTTACTTTTGTTTTATTATTTAATTTTGATTATTTAATAGGTTAACGTTGCTTTTAGACTGGCCTAGTCTTTCCTTTTTTAACTGATTTGATTTGCAAGTAATGATCTCAATCGAAACTAAGTAATAATGTTTACCTATGAGTATGCTATACCTATTTATTATGCCTATGTTTAACTCTGACTGATTTAAAGACCGAAAAATTTGTTAACTGTCTGTTAGGTTAGGTACCTACTCGTGCCTGCTCGTAAAGTTTATTCAAGTCGTTATACTTAAGAAATTTAAAAATTTATTAAGAAGTGTTTTTTTGTTTATAAAAAAAAACTATTTATCGTAATTTTGCTATTTGGACTTGTGTTCTTTGGAAAACAAGTGATTCAATTGTAGCTCCAGATTTTTTATTGTTATTTATCCTTAAGTACACGCGACTTTATGACTTTAGTTCCTTTAGTTAATAACTAAGTTATGATTATTAGTTAATATTAATTATGAAAGAAGATTTCATTTTTTGTTTATTTCCTTGCCAAAATAAGTGGTACTAAATTCTAATATTGATTGTTGTGCATTAAAGTAGGTATATTCGATTATAAAACCTGGGTTTTTATTAAATTTCAACCGATTTCAACAGTTTTAATTAAAAGACTCGAGACCCGAGAAAACTCGAGACTTTGGCCTCGAGAATTCCCGAAACTCGAGAAAAAAAATAGGTCGAGAAATCAGAAACCCTATTAGCAACGCTAGTAGAGAAGAACTATACTGAACTGTCCTTTATTTGACATTGACAGGGCCCCCCCCTGTCAATAGCGGATCGCTGGTTCCGACTTTTGCCGTAGAAACCATGAAGTTGAACGAAGATGGTGGTGCCCTTCTGTCAATGTCGTCGGTGGGACATTTCAGTGTAGTTCATCTTTAGTACGCGTTTTGTTTGACGGTAACACTGTCACTCTTTCTCTCTCTTAATTGTTCTTTTTTTTAAAGCGGTTAACTAATGCCCGTTTTGACCATCAATCCCATGTTTTAACATTTGTATGCCGACAAGGCTGATCACGGCTTGAACACATCTTTTGCTTGTACACCATACTCCTTACCTGTGTAACACTTCAAAACAACTCAAAATTTGTGAAACACAGGCTGTGTTTCACTGAATTGAAATAATTTGTGAAATTGAATCCCTAATTTTTAAGTGGTAACACAACAGGAATTTTGTTTACATAGGGGTCATTTAAAAATAGAGATTGATGGTGAAAACGGGCATAAGTCAGTGCCTGATGTATGGAAGCGGCACAGGAGGGGTGGCGTTGACATATTATGACGTGACAGAGCATACAAGTCAAAAGCCTAGCTGAAGTCTCGCTGATGATTGACGTCAACAAAAACACCCGTGTCGCGCCCATGCCGTAGGCACCGAGCTATAAATTGGTGTTTTCTTGACGTTTTCCTATGCCTCACAGTACCTATTTGTATTTATGTGATGCCTCACAGGAATAAATATTTATTTTTTGTGTTTTTGGTGGTAATTAAATATTTATTCCTAATAATTATACCTAATCACAGAATGATAATAAGTACTACCACAGAATAATAATAAGTACTACGTACAGAAGTTTTTCTTCGCGAAGGTATTCAAAAAAATGTATGCTCAATGTCATCAACAATATGGTGTAATTTAGCTTGTCTTAAGAGTCGAGCACCGTTTTGTTGACATACGTCAGTGATCGGCACTGCGCCGAAGCCATAGGGCTGACTTCGGTAAAATGATGTGTGACATGAGGTGTCAAACTGCGGAAAATGGCGGAGGAAATACATGAATAAACATGAATTATATATTGTGTTTTTATTATTATTCAGGCAGTTAAAAAATGCTGTACAGTATTAATTACACCACCGTTTTTATATATAGTTTATTGTCTTTACAATGCAAATGGGTGAAGAATACTCGTGCGTGCGTCAATGCTCGCTCATGATTGTCCTGTCGATTAGGTACCTCAGGAGGGGTAGTCGCGCGTGTTTTGGCTTCGATGCAAACTGAGATGAACAGGGATGTTTGGGGCCGTTCAAGTATTACGTAAGCACCAAGGGGGGGTGGGGGGGTCTCTGTTTTGCTTATTTTGGATGACATGGGGGGTAGGGGGGTCTAGATGGTGATTACGTCATCATTAGTTATTTACGTTTTTTCGGGGATTCCCGCAAATAAACATATGCGTAGGCACTCGCTTTGAGAACTGATTAGGGGAATTACCGCACATTAGGGAAATTACCGTGCGCTATTCACTTGTCTAATAATTTACTCTCGTGCCGACACTGCCCATTGAAATTTGAGAGCGTGTTTTGTTTGGATACTTAACGTATTGTCAGCATTGAAAGTTATCATTTGTGTTTATGTTGATGCATAATTGATGCAATTAATGTTTGTTATGTTCTTTATTTCTGATTATATTTTTTGTCCCTTACTCTATGTATATCAGTTAAACCTAATATTTTCATGAATTTTCCTATTTTAAAAATGACAATATAAAAAACATTTTTAACTAAAAATGTTTACGTAAGCATAGGGGGAGGGGGTTGGTGCTTTGCCTACTTTTGATGACAAGGGGGGCGGGGGGGTAAAAAATGGTAAGAAATCTGCTTACGTAATACTTGAACGGCCCCTTTAATGCTATCTGTATTGTGTTCCCAGATGCGCGTGCGCATCGCTGCTGCTTATATTGACGGATGGCTACCGCGGCGCGGCCGGCGTGGGCACGGCCACGCTGCGGCGCTGGGCCTACGAGATACAGTCCACCTTCCTCATCCCCAACGCGGTACGTGTAATCTCGTCTCATTGGAATTCAACTCTTATTGTAGCAGATGTATTCGTGCTGAAAAACTTTCGACTTCGAATCGTTCGCGTATCAGAATCGCCCTCGAAAGATTTAGTATGAAAACTGTTGTTATTTGATGAATTAAAGATGGATTTTGTTGATGTAGTATACTTTTATTTTACTACGCCATGACAAGAGGCTTACATGAACGAGACGAGAAGGCGCGAAAGCATAATGTCCACAAACAATGAGCAAAAAAAAACAAAGTTTGGCAACTTATGCCAATAGATGCCGCTATGCGTCCTTTTTTCAATTATGCATTAGAAATGTATCCTAAAATACAACAAAAACTTAACTGCGCCCCTGTGAACGTGACGTAAAGTGAAGAGTATAAGAACTAATTTTGACAATCGAGATCGTTACGCTATCGTTAAATTCGTAGACGAAAGTTTTTCGTGCATTTCAGCATTGACTTAGTTAGGCACTATACCATAGTTCATCGAGGATCGATTAGCATCAGGCTCAGTGACGGAGGCGCTTTTGAACATCGGTAAAAACCGACAATTCGCGCCATCGAATAAAAACTGTTCTATCATACGTTAAAATCGTTTATCCATTGTTGCACAAAATCAACCCGATCCCGAAATTGGATAGTTTTTATTCTGTAAATATTTATGATAAAGATAACAATATTTTTATTTACAGAACATGACGTTTATGTGTAATTTTTGCATCCTCAGGTGTTACAACTGAATGGCGTCGACGAAAATATGGCAAATGAAATCGAACATGTATTAGTAAACGGTAAGTTTAACCATATCGTAATTTCTTACAATAATACCTTTAGTTTTATTTTATTGAAAAAGAGAAGATTGTTTCAGATTTCTTGAATGCAAGATGTTTTTCTTTGGTGGAGGCCGATCAATTAAGGTTCTTAACCAATGTAGATTTTTTTCTATATTTGTTAGGTTAACATGACAGATTATATTATTTCCATTTTATTAGTTCGCTTTTTAACACAGTCGAGTATTAGATTTTTTATCATAAATAACTTTATATTTTATTTCAATAATATGTGTTATATTTTGCTATTATTAGCTTCATTTTGGTGTTGTAAATTATTATCGTGTTATTTTTCTCTAATTATTATTACATATTTGTTATGTCCACCATTAATGTATGTTCATAATGTGTAGTATAAAAGATAAGACAAATCTTTTTACCATCTCATAGTGTAAATTCGCTAACCAGTAAAGAAATCCCTTTCAAAACATTAACGTTAAAATGGTACGCAAAAAGGCGTGGCCGTAGATTGAGAAGGCAATGCATTCAGCGCAAATTTCTTAAAATTTGTCGTTAGTCCGTTCGTAGTCGGACTACTAAACGAGCAGTGGTTTATTGTGAATGCACTTTTTGACCTGTAAAATTTTAGTTTGTAAATTTTTACACAAATAGACTCACAAAAATTACTGACGAATTTGCTCACGCATGCGGGTTTGGCCTGCAAGCGCTGCTTTCGCAAAGAACAATTTCATCATTCATGCATTACGTAAAGCGTGATATAATTACGCGAGACTTGGGTCAAGCCCAAGTGCGAGGCTTCCCCATGCTGTGTAGAATTGGAACTTGAAACTGCGTATGACCGTAGCGTAATAGCTTGCGGCCAATCCCGCGAATGCGCGAGCAAAGGACATCTCCGATATCATATCTCTTCGGCAATCGAATAAACACTATTAAAACATAAATTAGAAAGACACGGGTCTTAACGCGACCTGCTTTTGGCCACTTGTGCTTGAGACCACGGCTACAGCATAGCAGCCGAAAGGTCAAGCCGTAAGTACATAATGTAACTCATTAATAAACGTCGCGTTAAGACCCGTGTTTTTCTATTTTAGTTGAAATGGAACGCGAAAGTTTAAATACTATTAAAACTTGTCACAGAATACGACAAAGAGGAACTCCTACGCAACGTGTTCCGCAAGGCGCGGTTAAAGGCCAAAGAGGAGCTGAGCCAGCAGCTCACTGAGTTCCAGGTCAAGCGTAAAGTGGGACTCGCTTCACTCTACTCGCCTGACGATCCCGTCATCGAGAAGTGTGACGTTGACAAGGCACAGGTAGGCAACCGAACAAATCCCTCCACTACCCATGGTTCTTCCTGCCTCACGGCGTACGAACCGAATCTCTGGATAGCGCGCGGGTACTTGGTCTGGGCTCCTTTCCCCAGGCGTTTTGCTTGTCTCCCTACAAATTTCTCTGATCCATGTCCCTTCTCATTGTCAATTCTCCTTCTTCTGGGGCTGCTAACGTTAATAATATAACATCACTTCTTCTCAAAACTTCGCCTGACTGTGTGCCAGGAGTGCGCGAACAGAGTTACTGCGACTACTCGTGAGGTCCTGGTGATAAATAGGTTCTTGCTCGGCTTTCTGTATTGCATCCAGCATCTTCTGTCGAGCTTCACCATGTAAGTTACATTCCCAAAGAGCACACTAACAGCAGGAGGCGAGGAGTTGTGCCAGTAGCTCACAGAGTTCCAGGTCAAGCGTAAAGTGGGGCTCGCTTCACTCTACTCGCCGAATGACCCCGTCATCGAGAAGTGTGACGTCGACAAGGCGCAGGTGAGCACACGAGCACAGCAGAAGGCCTTATTACATTGTGAAATGCAACAAAGTGTTGAGTATTGAGTCGAGGAGCTGAGACATTAGTTCAGAGGTCCAGGTCAAGCGCAAAGTGGGACTCGCTTCACTCTACTCGCCGGATGACCCCGTCATCGAGAAATGTGACGTCGACAAGGCACAGGTAGGCAACCGAACAAATCCCACCGCCGCCAATGGTTCTTCCTGCCTCACGGCGTACGAACCGAATCTCGAAGCTCCTTTCCTCGAACGCCTTGCTTGAGTCTACAAATTTCTCTGGTCCATGTCCCTTCCCATTGTCAATTATCTCTCTTCTGGGGCTGCTAACGTTAATAATATAACATCACTTCTCAAAACTTCGCCTGACTGTGTGCCAGGAGTGCGCGAACTCAGTAACTGCGACTACTCGTGAGGTCCTGGTGATAAACAGGTGCTTGCATCTTCTGTCGAACTCCACCATGTAAGTTACATTCCCAAAGAGCACACTAACAGTTGAGGAGCTGAGCCAGCAGCTCACTGAGTTCCAGGTCAAGCGTAAAGTGGGACTCGCTTCACTCTACTCGCCGGATGACCCCGTCATCGAGAAGTGTGATGTCGATAAGGCGCAGGTGAGGCAGCAGTTCAGGGTTCCAGGTTCCAGGTCGAGTCCACGGTGGGGCTCACCTTGCATCTAGTGCCTGACGACCGTCATCGAGAAGTGTGACGTCGACAAGGCGCAGGTGAGCTGAGCACACAACAGAGGCGAGGAGTTGAGACATCAACTCAGTAGTTCAGGTCGACGCAAGGTGGGGCTCGCCTCACTCCTAGCGCCCGACAACTGTTATCGAGATGTGCGACATCATAAGGTAGGGGCACACAGCACAGCAGGAGGCGAGGAGCTTACAGTTCCAGGTTCCAGGTCAAGCGTAAGGTCGCTCCTAGCGCCCGAGGGCCAGTCATCGAGAAGTGTGTGTGTACTGCGACTACTCGTGAGGTCCTGGTGATAAATAGGTCCTTGCTCGGCTCTCTGTGTTGCATCCAGCATCTTCTGTCTTCACCATGTAAGTTACATTCCCAAAGAGCACACTAACAGCAGGATACGAGGAGCTGAGCCAGTAGCTCACAGAGTTCCAGGTCAAGCTTAAAGTGGAACTTGCTTTGCTCTACTCGCCGGATGACCCCGTCATCGAGAAGTGTGATGTCGATAAGGCACAGGTAGGCACACGAGCAGCAGGAGGCTAGGAGCTCAGTTGGCTCAGTCAGCTCACGAGGTCCAGGTCGACTCAAGGTCGGGTTCGCTTCTCTCCCAGCGCCCGACAACCTCATCGAGGAGTGTGACTTCACAAGACAGGTGGGCATATTGCACAACAGGAGGCGAGGAGCTGAGCCAGTAGTTCAGAGGTCCAGGTTGAGCGCACCATCTTATTTTATCATGGCGTGCATCCTAGCCTGACAGGGTTGCGTTATTGAATGGTGGCGGCAACACTGAACCAACGCCTTGACGATGCTGCGCGGGCGTTGGTAAGACGACGACGGTCGAAAAACGCTAGGTGGTGGGAGGTGGTGTGAGAGGTCCCTAAGTTGCGTTGCGTGGCAACTTACTTTTTGTATGATGTGTGTCGTGATCAAGAGATCCAGGCGACGTTGCTTCGAGAGGCTTTGCGTAGTAGTGATATGCAGCGCAGTCTTGACTGCGTCGCTGAAATGCGTTCCGTCCCATCTAATCTAATCCTGGACAAATGATAGTGTCAAATGTTTTGAGAATATTATTTTTATCATTCGTGGAAGATAAATACAAATCGTCATTAATTCCCCAGGAACAAGTGGTGGTCGAGCGCTTGCTATGCCAGCGGCTGAGCGAGGCAGCGGGCCGGGAGTCGGCGCCCGCGCCGTCCTCGTGTAGTACCGCGCCCGGCGCCAACGCGGCGCTGCTGCACGCGCTGTACGCCGCCGCGCTGTGCCTGCACTGCCGGTGAGTGCAATGTAGTTCGATAATCTGTCAATAGATGGCGTTGGGTGCACTGCCGGTGAGTAACATACAACATAGTTCAATAATCTGTCAATAGATGGCGTTGGGTGTACGATACCAGGCCTGTGGGTCTAGACAAAGTGCAAATTATAATCGCAAACCAGTCGAAAAGTAGTCGAAAAGCCCCTTTTTTGTATGGAGTTTTGACGGATTCGATTATCGATTCGATCAAAAAGTGCGTTTTGTCTAGGGGGGCTGTTCATCTCCGCGAGTTTACATCGAAAACAAAACACGCACGATGGCCCACCTACATGGCGTTGGGTGTACGATACGAACGTGTGACATCGGTCGAAAGATGGCATTGGCTGTTACTGACGTCGCGGTGATATTATTTTTGCCATTGTTAGTGACTGAGCGAAATAACAGGACGCGAGTCGACGCCCTCGCTCACCTACGTCGAACTTGACTGACGTACAACATAGTTCGATAGTCCGTCAATAGATGGCGTTGGGTGTCGCTTGCATCGCGGTGACGTACTATCAGCCACACGAAGCCACGATAGCCGAACGGTGAAGCGGTCAGTATGACGTAGTTCGATAATCTGTTAATAGATGGCGTTGGGTGTATGATACGAACGTGTGACATCGGTCGAAGAAAGATGGCATTGGCTGTTACTGACGTCGCGGTGATGTTATTTTTGCCATTGTTAGTGACTGAGCGAAATAAGCGGCTGCTGTGCGCGCCTTTAGTTCCGCGCCCGGCGCCAACGCGGCGCTGCTGCACGCGCTGTACGCCGCCGCGCTGTGCCTGCACTGCCGGTGAGTGCAATGTAGTTCGTGCACCGGCCGATAGATGGCGTTGGGTGTCGCTTGCATCGCGGTGACGTTCTATCGGCCACACGAAGCCACGATAGCCGAACGGTGAAGCGAAACATGAGTAGGTCATTAGCGGTGAGTTGCCCCGAATTTTGTCAGTGTGTGCGTTCGCGCCGCATAGGTATTGGCGCGCGCTCACAAACAAACCGCGCTCGGTGCGTTTCTATGAAGATGACATACTCATTTGTATTTACTCTGGTACGACGTAGTTCGATAATCTGTCAATAGATGGCGTTGGATGGCAGTTGCATCGCGGTGACGTTAATATTTTGTCAATGGTTACTTGAAAAATAAAATGATAGAAAAACAACCGTTAGCGGCTAGCCAAGGCGGTGGAACGTAAGTCGGCCCTCAGCTTTTGAGTAATTTTGATATTGGCTTGAAAAAAATACTGAGTAAATTAAGTGATATGAAAGCTGATGTTAGCAGAATCACTGCGTGACACTCTATAGTCCGGTCGCCGAGCACGTAGAATTTCGTCCAATGACCCCAAGCTAACTATCCTTATCGCTCGCGCGTAATTCTGTTGATGTCGCGCTCGCACACTTACTGCGGCCGCTCGTCGCACAGTCGGCGGTCAATGGACAAAATTCTACGTGCTCGGCAACCGGGCTTTACACGCTTCAGCGGGTTAGTCCATAACAACCGTAATAATGATAACAACCGTAACGTAAAACTAATTTATTTTCTGGAAAAAGGCTTTAAAAAGTTATTTTATACATAGCAGCATTTTACGAAGTGGATCCTACCCCCAGTAGGATCATCCTATCGATCCATTCGTTTGTTTGCGAACAGTTAGCTAGCAACAAAGTACAATTAAAAATGGAATTAGGTTCTGATTGAGGTAAATGATATTCACTCATCAAGCTCGACTCAAACAATTCAATTGCTTATTACTCATACATGTATTTTAGTATTATTACCGCAAAAGGAAAGAGGAAAAGCCCCATTTATTAAATTTTCAGCCTTATTGTCGTTTAAATATAATTTCAAATCAATTGTTCTGTAACATTTGTGTGTCCGTAATTATTAAAATAATATTTTCCCGGAACATAATAATAGTACAGACTTGACGGTTTGAACGTCAAGGGTTTTAAGTTTTGATCTATTTTCGTTTAGAATATTTACGATTTAAGGTTTATTGGTATTATAATATTCTTAAAATGTATCACTTCAAATTAGTGGTTTTAAAATAGTGTTGTGTTTACATAATTATATTTTCTGATAAAACCCATAGAATAGAAAGAGTTATAAAGATGTGTTGATAAATACAAGAGTACCAAAAATTCGTCTCCATCAACAATAAATATCTTACATGTTATGGGTGTAAATTGAATAATGGTGAGTGAGAAGTACACCATAATGGTGACTGTAGATATATCAGAAGAAAAAGCCAGGGAAGTGAGGAGAAAATGGTGGCAGTCTCCGAAGAGCAAAAAACCTAAGCATGCAAAGTAAGTTGTTGCTTCTGGTGACAGTTTTCTATCATTTTGATGGTTATGTTTTAGTCTAGGCGCAGACCACCGATTTTTCGTTGGTCGATAGTTGGACCCATTTTAATTTGTATGAAGAATCGGCCAAATCAAATCGGTGTAATGTGCGCACTTCCATACATGCCCATACTGATCAACTGCCCGACTAAACTATCGGCCGACGAAAAATCGATGGTCTGCGCCTAGGCTTAGCCGAACCGGAAAGCCGAAAGAGTTTGAATTTTTATTTCAATTAAGTTTTAAATTATATCGTGTGACTGTCGTAATTCATTTCTCTATCTCCAGGACTATTTTGGGACGTGTAAGAGCGCCCGAGCGCGTTTGAAGAAAATATATTACTTTTATGACTTTTTATTTATTTATTTTATTTGGAAAACCAATAACAATATAAATACAAATAATGAGATCTAAAATTATATATCTGCTTAGTCATTTATAGGTAATCACAAATGAAAAGTTTTATGATTTTAAATAAATAAATAAAAGGTATTTATTTCAGGCATAGCCCATAAAAGTGTTAGTAACAAAGGTCTTATAAACTATGGTTAGTAAATCACACAGTAACCTAAACATAATTATATTTAAATGATTTAAATTTCACACCCTTCACTAATTGGATGCCACTGGATTCCAAACTGTGGACCCTAGTATGACCAGGATCTGCAGTACAGTCTCACCAATGATCGAGTTGAAGTTAGCAATTTAGCACCTTTGTGTGTATTAATTTAAAGCTGTTTTTCCCATGCAGGCCAGCGTCTGTAGCGGCGGCGGTGGGCGGGTCTCGCGCGTCGTTCTTACAACGCGACAAGTTGTACAAGCAGCGCGTCAAACAGCTCACGAAACAGCATCCGCAGCCTGTGAGTATACCTATACATTTTGCTTTCATTATTGTTTTAGCCACAGGACGTCGACTGCTGAATTCTCCCAATGATTTCCACAACGCCCGTTTGGTAGCGGCCTGCATTCGCGCCTTCTGTTTTTTAAAATGTTCACTAAATATAGTATACACGGAGTAGGAAATGTAGGAATGGTGAACTTTATGAATGAACCCCTACGCTTGATGGCATTAACGATAGAAATGGACGCATTTAAACGTTCAAATACTATCAGTTTTTTACTAAACCAAAGTGGAACGTAACTAGAATTTGACGTTGTAGGTTTTAAAGGGGACTAAAATCTAGCCCTTTGAAACTCTGCCGACAAATTACAACGTCCATCGTGATCGGGGTAACCAACTACTGCTTAGAATGTCTCATTTTTCATTTATTAATTGCCATATCGCGTTTTCATGAGAGCCATGGCATGTTGTGCGATGCAATGTTTTGCAAGATGTTATTTCGTCCCATAAGTGTTTTGGCTAGTGCTTAACATGACACTTTATTTGCCTTAAAATCTAGCTATTCTAGATCCCGAACTGTATGTTTGTTAAGGCCCGGAACAGACGGTGAAACGCAACTGCAGCAAAACTGCAACTGCTAGTTACTTTTGAGTTGCATCTAAGTTTCTGCCATAGCGTCCGTTGAGAGACCACACATGACGCGACCAGTTTGAAACTTTCAATGCTATGGCAGAAAAGACAATGCCGGAAATTGGCGTCTTTTTTTTTCGCGCGGCCATCGACCAAACCATGTTTTTTGGATACAAAATAATGTAATAAACCAAACTTACTATGACATGTATACCTCTGAACTCAGTCTGAACTGAGTTACGAGCATTAGAAGTTTGATGATTAACATACTAGATTTGCTTTTTGCGCGCAAGTTTTGTAAGAAATTGCAACAAAATAGTGACATTGTATGTGTAAACAAACAATACCATCCATTAAAGGCTCCAGACATTAGTGTGGAGTAGAATCAGCGCAATAAGAAAATATCGCAATATTTTGTTGCAATTTCTTATAAAACTTGCGCGCAAAAAGCAAATCTAGTATGTAAATCATCAAACTTCTAATGCTCGTAACTCAGTTAGACTGAGTTTAGAGGTATACATGTCATAGTAAGTTTGGTTTATTACACTATTTTGTAATCAAAAAACAAAGTTTGGTCGATGGCCGCGCGAAAAAAAAAGACGCCACCTTCCATACAAAATCTGGCATTGCCATTTAGATGCAACTCAAAAGTAACTAGCAGTTGTAGTTTCGTTGCAGTTGCGTTTCACCGTCTGTTCTGGTCCTAAGAGTTATTCTGTTTTCCGCAGTACGTAGTCCGGGGTCACCACTTGCAGCTACAAGCGCTGACGTCGGTGGGCCACTGCCACCACTGCGACCACGTCATCTGGGGCCTCGCGCCGCAGGCCTACGTCTGCACAGGTACATGCTGCGCCTGGTGTCCGCAGCACTAGTCCGAGCCACCTGCAGCTACAAGCGCTGACGTCGGTGGTCCCCTGCCACTACTGCGACCACGTCATCTGGGGCCTCGCGCCGCAGGCCTACGTCTGCACAGGTACATGCTGCGCCTGGTGTCCGCAGCACTAGTCCGAGCCACCTGCAGCTACAAGCGCTGACGTCGGTGGTCCCCTGCCACTACTGCGACCACGTCATCTGGGGCCTCGCGCCGCAGGCCTACGTCTGCACAGGTACAGACGACGGCACGTGAACGTAACCACTGTGGGAGCTTGTGTAGTTGTAATAGGAGCGAGTTTGCAGTAAAAATGGGTAACCTGATGTGCTGTCGTGTCTACATGTACACCTGGTGTCCACAGCACTAGTCCGCCCACCACCTGCAGCATGCTATATCTCACTATAGGTCGCGCAACACGAGTTGAGGCGTTCAACACAAGCCAAGACTCGCCACGCTGACGTCTTTCGTAGTACGACCAGGCCTGTTCATCTCCGCGAGTTTACATCGAAAACAAAACACGCACGATGGCCCACCTACAGGATACTATTCGACAAGGCCTCACATACGAGCGAACATTGACTCACGCATGCGTATTCTTGTGTATGATGGAAGAAAATAAAGAAAATGGTGTACTAAATAATACTGTGCAGTATTTAACTGCCTAAATAATAATAAAAACACAGAATGTACTTTTTTAAGTTGCCTCGAGACACTGACAGGTAAATAAGTAGTTAATATTATTCATGATAATTCATGCTAAATCATGTATTTCCTCCGCCATTTTCCGCAGTTTGGCACCTCACGTCACATCATTTTACTGAAGTCAGCCCTATAGCTTCGGCGCAGTGCCGATCACTGACGTTTGTCAACAAAATGGTGCTTGACTCTTGAGACAGGCTAAATTACACCATATTGTAAATTACATTGAGAATACATTTTTTTAAATACCTTAGCGAAGTAAAACTTCTGTACGTAGTACTTATTATTATTCTGTGGTACGACTGATAAGTGCTTTCTATTTCGCAAGCCCACATTTAATTTAGCAAGAGCGAGGTAGCTAGTGTATTCGATATTACATCAAGGTGAGTACCGTGTTCGCCTCAACTTTCGTTGAGCGAACTATACCACATACCTCTGTTACATTAGAATATCCATAAAATAGGGGTACTTTGACACCACTAATCAATTGATAACTGACCAATGAAAAGGTAAGGCTTCAACAATCAATGGGATTAGGAATAGTTATAGTTAACTGATCTTAGTTAATCTATGTTGGCTTATTAATTTCCAACGCTAGCGCAAATGACGTAACCAAAAGACTTACATTAACTATTTCTGTCTCCAGACTGCAAACTGCGAGTGCACCGGACATGTGCAAAGTCTGTGGAGGAAGGATGCTGTATGGACGGCGAGCACCATAACAACAGGATATCGCGCTTCATGGAGCGGATACACCCCAACAACCAGCTCAATAGTGAGTAGGAATATTGACATTTACAGGAATATTGCCGCGAATATTGCTGAGAATATTCCTGGGAATATAGCTGAGAATATTCCTGAGAATATTCCTGGGAACATTGCTGAGAATATTGCTGAGAATATTCCTGGGAATATTGCTGAGAATATTCCTGGGAATATTGCTGAGAATATTCCTGGGAATATTGCTGAGAATATTCCTGGGAATATTGCCACTGTCGAGAATATTGACGGAAATATTGCTGGCAATATTGTTAGAGTAAGTCTGTGGAGGAAGGATGCTGCATGGACGGCGAGCACCACAACAACAGAATATCGCGCTTCATGGAGCGGATACACCCCAACAACCAGCTCAATAGTGAGTAGTAGGAATGTTGCAATTTGCGGTAATATTGCCGGGAATATTGCTGAAAATATTGTCACTTTTGACAACATTGCCGGGAATATTGCCACTACCGACAATGTTGAAAGGAATATTGCTGGGAATAAAGGTTCTGTCTGCAATATTGCTGTGAACCATGAATATTGCCCCTACCGGCAATATTGCTGGAAATAGGCTCTGCTTGACAATATTGTTTGGAACATTTTTAGGAATATTACCACTATTAATATATTTTTGTTTTCAGATCCAGACACTGGAGATAAGAAATCGAGGAAAACGTCCAATCACTTTCTCAACAGTGAGTTGATTTTTAATCCAATTTTTCCATATTTGTTTTAGTTAAGAGAGTTAAACAGCAAATAAATTCTATTTCAAATTCTTTTTTATTTCATAATTTGAAGAAATGGTTTCCCACATAAATGTAAATGGTACTATCGGGGACTCTTCCGCCTGACCACTTTGTAGAAATTTTAGCGTAAGCGCATCGCTCCGGTCACGTGCTCACCCCGTCTCTAATTGGTTACGCATTTTACTATATTTTTACGACGACCAATAAGAGACAATCAGGGCTTAGGTTGCAATACGAAATACCATTGTGAACTTTATTGCCATACGGTTAAGGTTTAAAACGAAATGTTTCTTTTTCTTCAATCTTTCTTAGTTTTAGGCTGAGTTGTACCACCTAACTTTGACCGTAACTATAACGGTAACCGGTGCTTTTTGTANTGCAACAAAATAGTGAGATTGTATGTATAAACAAACAGTACCATCCATTAAAGGCTCCAGACATCAGTATGGAGCAGAATCAGCGCAACAAAAAAATAGCGCAATATTTTGTTGCAATTTCTTACAAAACTTGCGCGCAAAGAGCAAATCTAGTATGAAAATCATCAAACTTCTAATGCTCGTAACTCAGTTCAGACTGCGTTTAGAGGTATACATGCCATAGTAAGTTTGGTTTATTACAATATTTTGTAATCAAAAAACAAAGTTTGGTCGATGGCCGCGCGAAAAAAAAAAGACGCCAATTTCCGGCATTGTCTTTTTACACGAAGCCTCATATAATATTTTGTAACGATTCTTTATTGGGTTTCAAATTGACTAAAATGCGACGTTGCCAAACGAGCGCTACGGATGCGGGTAATAAGCAATACTCAATCCTAAATGCTTTACATAGAGCTTGGTTTGCTAGGGCAAACATCTACAGTGGTGCGCTGACGCTGCTTAGACCCGAAACATGAATGAACGGGGGCGTAGCATAATCGAGCGTGTGTGTGCAAACAATTTAGGCCCTTAAGGTGTCAAGGCGTTCGAGTCCCCGATAGTACGTTTTGCGAACCCTTGTAGCTTTTTGAATTTACCTCAACTTTTATATTGCACTTTTCGCCCTTATCATATGTGAATAAGGTTCAAATTATAACAGACGTTAACTTTCGCAGTGGAGAGGAGTTTTCGGAAGATGGAGGACGAACAACCCTGGGACCAGACGCTGACGCCGGCTTCTTCTCAAGGTCAGTGATCTTTATTATCTAGCGTTTAAGATTCATTTTAGAAAACTACAGTGAACTTCCACTATAGTACTACCGAATTTGATATTTTTCGTCTTTATGATATTGAAGTGAAAGTTGAAAATTGTCTGTAATAGTATTTTTACTGTTCAATTTGCAACCGCATTGCAATGTTAGCGTTGTACCAACATCATACGTGCGTTTTTCCGTATAGCAATTTCTACTGCCAGACTGGAGGTGTAATTACAAAGAAAACATATTCGTTTGGTACCAAAAATAAAAACAATACAAATCAACTTTGCGTACATATAGTTATGATACTTTGTATTTACGAACTGATCGTGAGAGTTGTGCAGTCCTAGCCTGTATCGAAGATCCAGCTTTACGTTTAATTTGAGAAACCACTTGTTTTTTTCTCCATAAAATACTGTGCGTGTACGTCTAAATATGCAGGTAAGTAACTGGCAATTATCTATTTTCATTGAATTTATTTATGTTTTAACGTTCTCTAGTTCATTATTTCTAACACAATCGTTCTTATAACGTCAAAACATCAGAACGAATGCTATAACTCCGGATATTCTCGACAGTTGTAGACCGTCCGCAGAAGTCTGAGGGAGAGTTCTGGATGTGTTAAGTCAAGTGTGAAATAAATAAAATTAATTATGTTTTTGGACATTTTATCTCTCATAGTCTCCAAGGAAATTGCATTTAATTACACAAATGTTTGTACTATGCAGGAAGCGAACTTGCGATAGTAGTCAGGAACCAACCACTAAGCCGATTTACTTCACAGCCATAAACTGAGCTGAATTTTAATACTAAAGAACTAGCGGCCGCCCCCGGCTTCGTACCCCTAAGGGGGTAAAACGGGACCCCCTTAGGGGTGGAGTTTCGTCAAATCCTTTCTTAGGTTGGTTTTAGTGTCACGCGGACCGTCAGTGCGGATCGCTCAGCCTTAGTGAGCGAGCACCTATGTTCTAAAAGGAACCCCTATGCAAAATTTGAGACTCCTAGCACTTGTAGTTTCTGAGATTTTGTGATGAGTCAGTCAGTCAGTCAATCGCTTTTATATGGATATCAGACAAACAATTTTTCGATTTCATCGTCTTTCAAGATGCACCTCCCCATTTAATACAAATTATAATAACATAAAACAGCTTCCATTACTTCTTCAAGAAAGATATCAAAGCTATCTCCATTCCCATTCAAATCCTGCCCTTTCTGTCAGCACAGTACCACATCCAGGGCTTAAATACCAGCAACATACTCGTATTCCATTACTCCTAGCCAGTCTGTCTAGACCCGCGTCTCTAATAGTTTCAGTTATACTCCTATTAAACAGCCAGGTCTAGTGTTTGTGGTCATAACGCTAGATCGTTCACAAATGGGCACAGTGTAGGAAGGAATAGAATCTTCAGTAATGACTACGTGGGTTAATGACAGCTACATTCAGAACATACATAATAAATCTAAATTGAAATCGGAGACGTTAGATGAAGTGGAAATCGCTTACTGATGTCAATTATTTTATCTGCCAAGAAGCTTTATTGGAATTATATTTTGCCTTTGGGATGCCTTTTTATTACTTTCACTGTCTGATTTTTCTCAAATCGGGACTTTTAAAACCCGTGGAGCATTTTCAGCCATAGATTCAACCCCGTGATTAAATACCCCTTTCTTTTAATTGTATCTATTCTATGTAAACGTTGTGTGCAACATTTATAGGAATTCAATTTGAATGCAAAAAAACTAATGTTATTCTATAAAAATGTTTGAGATTGTATTCTGTTGTTGTACCTATAAATAAATAAATAAATAAATAAATATTTATTTATTCTGTTGAGCTTTGTTTAAGTTTATAAATGCTTGCACTATGCACCACACACTTGTCTATGCATTATAAACTTGCCTTATTGCTACTGAATGGGTCAGCTGAAACTACCCACACTGTGGCCTGTCCTCCTATAAATAGGTTTTTAATTGTGATTCAGTGAGCCGACGTTTGATTTGTGATACCGACCGTTTGTTTGGAGCCGGTGCATGGCCGCGGTTTGTGATTCCATCGACAGATGGGTTTCTATTTCAGTTCTTATACAAAGCTTAGATTTTACATTTGTTTGCGCCGATGAAATGTACATCCGAGTTAATGAATTGGTTTTCTCTATATTTTACTTACGGATATTGAGTAACTAGCTGTGCCCTGCGGTGTTACCCGCGGTAAAACGTAGCCTATATGTTAATTCAGGGTGTCAGCTAACTCCATACCAAATTTTATTAAAATCACTGCAGCCGTCTAGACGTGAAGAAGTAACAAACATACACACTCACAAACTTTCGCCTTTATAATATTATGTAGTGTGATATCACGTCAACAAATAATAAATGTTACCAGTTTGGTTTCAAATTTTACACATCCCTGCTAACCCTAGTAATAAAGCAGTGGGAATTTAGTTCCCACCATATTAGCCTTGATGCAAAAATAATGAAAACTGCTGACAACGCCACTCTTGTAGCGGAGTTTTGGGCTGACACTGTATAGGTTTGTTGTCGACACGACAAGAAGAATAATGAAAAAGTTTGTTCTTGTACTGCCACTGTACCGTGACAATAATGTGTGTCAATGCTTAGAAGATGTAACTATGTAACTTTAGTTCTGTTAAGGTGTGGTTAAAATAAACTCTTGAGTAAGATTTCTCACGTATATTTCAAGTAAAATAAAACGTATTACAAATCAAATAGTCATGGCGAGAACAACTGAACAACGAACCAAAAACAAACCCCTGGCGGTATTCAAACGAACTATTTACCTTTTTAAGAATACCACGCAAAGATATTAAGTATTATAAAATTTACATCTTAACACTCCCACTTAAATTTTAGAATAATAACCTACTTAACTATAAAAGCTTCAAAACAACTCACTTTCCATTCAACATAAATAAATAACTATGAAAGACACAGCTTCTGTTAAAAAAATGTGCGAGCTGGTTTGAGCTTTCTACATATTTAACACAATACATACGTTTACGTTTTAAGACGTGTTTTGTATCTTACTATATTGCCCTCTGTATCTCTTTTTATACAAAATACCCTCTTTGAGGTCACTGTTCTCTCATTTTCTAACTTCCATGTTTTATTTTCTTCTAGTGACTGTATTTCTGCCTTTATAGCTTCTTTCCCTTTACTGCCATCTCTACAATTCATAGCTTCTTCATATGTATAAGGTATATCAAACTCAACAAAACTTGCTTCTTCATTTCTGTGCCTTCTAGGTCGCAGTGTAATATTTCTTGTATCATCTTCAGATATTATCTGCGCAGGCTCGTATGTTCTATCATTGGGATCTTCGTGTGTCTCTACACTTTTAAAACTTGATTCAGAAATATCTTGGTTGTCTCCTGATATTTCTGGACTTTCTTNGATGCCATCTGTAGGTGACATTTTATACTGATAAAATTTTTCATGTACCATCATTTTGTTCAGCTCAGACTTTTGCTCGTAAATAGATTCCAACTTTGTCATGACTTCCTTGGCTGTTTCACAATTTTCTATTAAGGATATTTGATTTAAATCCATGGACGATGTTAACAAAAACATGGCCATACCATCGTTTTTGTCCCATTGGCTTGTGTCACCCACCATGGGTTTCTCCTCATCAATATTCAAGCCTTTAGCCTTCAAGGCACATTTAATTTGGAATTTCCACTGTCTAAAGTCTTTCCCGTTGAATTTTTCGATCCGCATGGAATTTGTGACTTCCATTTTTTCGAACGACACTTTTTCTGCTCTTTACTCAATCCGTAGGTATTAACGTACCTGGGCCCATAACCTGTTAAGGTGTGGTTAAAATAAACTCTTGAGTAAGATTTCTCACGTATATTTCAAGTAAAATAAAACGTATTACAAATCAAACAGTCATGGCGAGAACAACCGAACAACGAACCAAAAACAAACCCCTGGCGGTATTCAAACGAACTATTTACCTTTTTAAGAATACCACGCAAAGATATTAAGTATTATAAAATTTACATCTTAACAAGTTCAAATTAAAAGGTTTTCAAGTGAACTTTATTTTCAAAAAAATATTTAGCTAATACTGTTCATGAAAGGACAGCCATAATTAAATTCATACAAACCTTTTAGTTTAATCAAACAAGCGAGTGAGTAAACAACGCTGACCTTGAGATTAGGCCAATAAATCACAGTTCCGGCGAGCCAGCCACTTCCCGGTGACATAACGGGCTTCCGGTCTAAAGATGGTCGCACACGTATAGCGAGCGAGATGCTAGATAATGCTGAAAACATACGACATATCAGTTCGTTCGTTTCAGCTAAATGACGCTCCAATACTGGACAAAAGCCTCCCCCGACATACGAGTAGAATGCTGTAAATAAAATTATTTTTACGCTTCATACCATGTTTATTGAATGAATATGACCGTAGAACTATGTAGAACTTGTCTTGAAAAGTGTGAATTTTTATATGACTACTGGGCAATGGGCATTGAATTTACAACAATTGCTAGAAAAACACAATAATAATGCTGTGTTTGAAAATAAAAAAAATACTACATATTGACATGCTATGAAACCCTTCAGTTTCATACTACGAAAAAGTTGACGAGCTACGAAGATACATAGTAACGTTACGAAATGTTGCTTAGCAAGGCTCGTACAACTTAAGTGACTACGTAGCTACAGAGCTACGAAGTGAATGTGCTACGGTTCGTAGTACTGGCAGATATTTTTCTTCATTTTTCTATTTAGAAACTGTTTTCTTCATTTTTTTGTTTATTTAGAAACTTTCTTGAATAACGAGAATGCCACAAAGTTACGAATTATGAAAATAAATAAATATGCTACAAAGTTACATAAATTCGTAGCAACAAAGGTCTTTCGTAGCGTTAAATGCTACGAACGGCGTTAATGCCGGCACTCTATGACACACTGTAAATAAACTTCATCATATAAATAGTAAAATACTTCTTAGAATAAGTTTCATTCATTC